TGCACCACTCTCGCTCCCGCCCGCACGGCCTCAACACTGTTGGCCACGGCCATGCCACAGTCGTTGTGGCAGTGCACTCCCACTCCCGCATCCCTCCCCCACACGCCCTCCGCTGCGCCTCTTGCTAGCTCCTCCACCACTAAACGGGTGACCTCCTGAAGAGGTGGGGGGAGACGGGAGTGAGGTGCAGAAAATTGGTGGGAATGTGGTTCAGGAAGTTTGAAACGGGGTCATAGGAGGGATACATGACAGGGTCATAGGAGGGATACATGACAGGGTCATAGGAGGGATACATGACAGGGTCATAGGAGGGATACATGACAGGGTCATAGGAGGGATACATGACAGGGTCATAGGAGGGATACATGACAGGGTCATAGGAGGGATACATGACAGGGTCATAGGAGGGATACATGACAGGGTCATAGGAGGGATACATGACAGGGTCATAGGAGGGATACATGACAGGGTCATAGGAGGGATACATGACAGGGTCATAGGAGGGATACATGACATGCTATGTGACACGCGCCATAGCATGAAATGGCGTGGCATGGCATGGCATGTGGCATGGCATGTGGCATTGCATGGCATGTGGCATGGCATGTGGCATTGCATGGCATGCTATGAGGCAAGACTCACATGCACGCGCCGTGGCACTCCCCCCAACTCACATGCACGCGCCATGGCACTCCCCCCAACTCACATGCACGCGCCATGGCACTCCCCCCAACTCACATGCACGCGCCATGGCATGGAGCCCCCATTAGTGTCACACAGCACTATCTCCTTGGCGCCCGCCCTGGCTGCCGCCCGCACACAGTGCATGGCGTACTCGCTGGAAGGGGGGTATGTGAGCAAGGTTGGTGAGAGGGCAAGGTTGGTGAGAGGGCAAGGTTGGTGAGAGAGCAAGGTTGGTGAGAGGGCAAGGTTGGTGAGAGGGCAAGGTTGGTGAGAGAGCAAGGGGGTTGGAGTGAGAAGGCTATAAGGAAGGGCCTGAATGGGAAAGGGTGACAGACGCGATGAGGTGGATGATGGGTTGGGGAGGGGTGTGAGAGGGAGATTGGGGAGGGGTGTTGAGGAGGGGAGGATTGGGGGGAGATGCTGTGGGAAGGGCGCTCACGGGTTGGCAGAGAAACCGTCGTTCAAGTGGAAGGGGAAGGGGAAGGGGAAGGGGAAGGGGAAGGGGAAGGGGAAGGGTGCAAGTGAGGAATTAGGGGAGGGTGCTGTTGAAGAGGACTTAGGGGAGGGAACTGAGGGGAGGGAACTGAGGGGACGGAACTGAGGGGAGGGAACTGAGGGGAGAGAACTGAGGGGCGGGAACTGAGGTTGTGGGAAGGAAGGAGACTCACGGGTTGGCGGAGAAGCCGTCGTAGCAGTGCTCTGCGTCAAGCATGACGTGGCGGGGTTGGGTGAAGGATGGGACGAGGCAGGGGGAAGGGGAAGGGATGGAAGGAGGGGAGGTGGAGGGAGAGTCGAGGGCCTCACGGGTTAGCGGAGAAGCCGTCATAGAAGTGCTCTGCGTCCAGCATCACGTGGCGACCCATGGCAGTGAAATACCGCACCGTGTCCTCTATCATCGCCAGGTTCTCCTCTAGCGTCGCCTCCAGCACCTTCAGCACCTGGGCGTCCCACGCCTGGAGAGAGTGATAGAGGGGACAGGAAAGGAGAGATGTGCCCATGGCAGGCTAGTACTGCACCGTGTCCTCTATCATCGCCAGGTTCTCCTCCAATGTCGCTTCCAGCACCTTCAGCACCTGCGCGTCCCACGCCTGATGGTAAGAGAGGGGATGCGGCAGGGGGATGGGGCGGGGGGATGGGGCAGGGGGGGGGGGGGGGGGAGGCAAGGGAAAAGCCCATGGCACCATGTCCGTGATCATCGCCAGGTTCTCCCCCGGCGTCGCCTCCAGCACTTTCAGCACCCTGCGCGTCCCGCGCCTGGTGGCAGGACCACGAGACAGGAGAAAGGGGGGCAGCGAAAGGGCAGCGGAGGAGGGAGATGAGAGCAGAGCAGGCTAGTAACGCACCGTGTATTCTATCCTCGTCGGATTCTCCCACCCACCGTACCATGGCCTTGGTCCCTTGTTATAGTAACACCGAACCCCATACCTTGGCCACGAGGGTGATCACGGGCGCTCCACTCTCCACCAGCGCCTGCACGTTCGCGTCCTTCTCACACGTCGTGTTCTTATAACGAGTTGCTCCAAACGCCGCCAGCTTCGCCCGCCTCCTCTCCCCCTCGTTACTGTCACCTCCTGCTGCTGTCAACCTGTCTATCCCCTCCCTTGCTGCCTCCCGGGCTTTCCACCGCTGGAAGAACTCAGCGTCCTTGGGATTGGATCCTGGCCAGCCTGCTTCGATATAGTCAACCCCGAGATCCTCTAAGAGCTCCGCTATACGCAACTTGTCCGCCACTGAGAGGGTGATTCCCACCATCTGATTGGTCGGGATGGACGGGGCAAACGGAGGGTGTGACAGTAACGAGGGCGGAAAAGGAATGGAAGCCGAAGTGAGCAATGTGGTTGTGGATAAGCGTCAGAGGAGGCAGAGAGAAGCAGAGTTGAGGAGGAAAGGAGGAGCCACCCATCCCCACCCATACCCACCCACCCCCATCCGTCTCATCTGATCCCCACCCCACCCCACTTGCGAAACATTCCCCCCCTGCGACTCGTCCCCCACCTGCGACTCGTCCCCCACCTGCGACTCGTCCCCACCTGCGACCCGTTCCCCACCTGCGACTCGTCCCCCACCTGCGACCCGTTCCCCACCTGCGACTCGTCCCCCACCTGTGAACCGTCCCTGAGCGTGGTGTCGTATATCGCCACCGCGCGCCCCGCTGCCACTGTATCAGAGCCAGCTGGCGCGGTCCCATTGGCTGTCGCTGGTGCTGCGCCGTTAAATACGGGTGCTGTGCGTGGCGGGTCCGCGGAGAGAGAGGCGGACGCGGAGAACGCGGAAGCGGGCTGGGGAAGGAGCGCGGTGGGGGAATTTTGGGGGGGAAAGGGTGAAGGGGAACAGGGAGCGGGGGATGGTTAGGGGGCAAATGGGGGAAGGGAAGTGGGGAGATGGGGCCGGGAAAGATGGGTGAGCATAACGGGGAATGCGGGTCGGAGAGGAGCGAGCGCGACTGGAAGGGGAAACGGGAAAACGGGGAAGGGGAAGGCGGAAACACGGCTGGAAAGTAGTGGGGGAAGTTGAGAGAAAAAAGACGAGCCCTTTATCTTGGAGTGTAAGGGAATGCAACTGCTCCTGTTCGCATTTTATGTAGCTCGGTTGTCCACGACTTGAACGGTTAGTACTTAAGAATGTTGTGACAAAAGAGGGCGTGACTCACGTGTTCTGTCACAACGGCTTGCGTCACGGTCCCCGCGCCCGCCGCCGCCGCCTTCGCGCGCCATGACGGCTGCTCCGCCGACGCGGTTACCCTTAGAACCTTCCCGCAATGCCCTGCGAACAGCGCATTCCCGCGTGGAAAGTTCGCTCTGTTGAGGCGCACCGGGTGGCCGCGAAACAACGCTCCGCCGACGGCGGCCTCCATGGGGAAAATGGCGGGAATGAGCGGAAAAGGGACGGAGTGGTTGGAACGGCGAACTGTCGCGCGTACTATACTGGGCGAAGCAGGGCGAACGTTATTGCGCGAGATGTGCCAAGTTGGATGTGGCGTGTATAGGCGACGAGGTTCGGAGAGGACGGGAAGACTACGCAATATCGCCGGAAAAAAAGGAAAGGTTTGAGGACGGCTGGTGAAAGAAATATCTGGGGGTGCGGATTCGGGAAATACTCGAAGAGGGTAGTAACCGGTTCGCCAAAGAGATGGTTGAGTGTTCACGATATCGTGCGAAAGAAAACGGGGCTGTAGCGAATAGTGGCGAGGAGTGGTATGGTGGCACGTCAGATCTGCTACGTGGCAGGCAAGATTTTGTCTTCGAATCACCCATCTCGAAACACCAACAGAATACTGAATGTAAATATGTAGTAGCATTCTTTTAAGCTGTAGGCAACAACGATAAGACGCTCCATAATGCTATAGCGGGACGTTATGTCATGTGGCCCAGAGAGCCACCAAAAGCCAACTGCAACCCAAGAAGAGTCAATTCTGTCGGCACATGAAGTAATGGCAACAACGATAAGAAGCTCCATAAGGGTTTAGGCTCCCGAATGGCATGCCGGTCGCTTTGAGGGTTTAGTTTTTTCCTGCCCGGGTGAGGGTGACGCTCCCGAAAGCGTCACCCCCGAGCGTCACCCCGGGCAAAACGGAGCGTCACCCCTGATTTCGTTGAGAGATACTAGGCTATAGCGGGATGTTATGTCATGTGGCCCAGAGAGCCACCAAAAGCCAACTGCAACCCAAGAAGAGTCAATTCTGTCGGCACATGAAGTAATGATTGTAGATTCAGCATCTGGAAAGTGCCTACAGTTTGTTCTGTTGTTACACAACGATGAATCTGAAATTCAGCCCAGAAAAGTGAGGATGCGGACAGACTCGGTCAGCGAAACACAAATTTTCACGCACCGACAACAGATAGCCTGATAACCCACCAAGGCTTTTGGATGTATCTGGTGGATTTGGATGAGCTTCCATCAGCGGCACTCTCGTCCAAACCAACCACGTGTTTTGTTGCGGTTTCCCCAGCCACGAAGAGTTGCTTTGCCGAGCCACATCCTTCCCTGCTTTACTGGGATTTTTCGCGCGTTCATGTCGCTGCCTTGGCTTTCGCGACATCGCTGCAGTGCTGCAGCAACAGCAAGAACCAGCAGTTCGCGGGGGCGCGGTATGGGCAGAACAGCTCTAGAACTACCAACGAACGGACCAGATTGTCTGGTTTTGATTTGACGTCCCAAACCAGATTCCGGACCAGCAATATTCCCCCAACTGACAAGAATTTCTTCTCAACCATCATCGTGTTCGATGTATCCTTACAAAGCAGCAACTTCTGGAATCGTAATAAACCGATCTTCGCCGCACTCTACAACGCCAACAATATACCAAGTCGGGTTCAATGGTTCCATATCCCACAGTTGCCCTCAACTTCTGCAAATGCCTCCTAATCACCAAGCCTGCTTCCGTGTATTCAGGTGACTCTGGTTCGGAACAGGTTCGGGATAAGCAAGGGTTTCTGCGACGCACCGACCGCCACTCCTTCCAGCTAATTGCCTCAAGTCGTGTGGGAGCACGCAAGTAGCAGGCCACAGTAGCAGCCAATCAGAACGGCAACGACAGGTCTGAGATTGGAAGATTCCCCCACATGGAATCTCACGTGATAAGCGGCGGTCAGCTCGTTTCCAGCGAGCTGAGTGCTTATCACCATCTTCTCTCCTTGAAACCCCATGATCTCTTGTTGCTCCGACTCCCAGGGCGAAGGCAGGCCTTTGACTCCGCAGCGCGGCCGCCGCAGAAGCAGCAGCATCACTCGGCGCTTCTTCCGGGGGGTTTTCAGCCGAGGTCACTCGCGCTATCTATGGTAGTTGTAGTAGCGTGTTCGTCGCTGTGAGTTAATCGACGCTCTGCTACGGAGAATCTCCCATCATGGTCGTTAACGGGACGAATCAGGCCGCGAAGTCGTCCTCCTCTCATGACTCCCAGTCTTCGCTCGAGTGCTGCGACGGAGGGGTCACCGTTACCCTTAATCGCTCACTCTGTATCGAATCGCATGCGTCTGTACTAGCGCCGACCGGTGCGGCGACGACCGAGCCGCCGCGTGCCGCGACTGTGACAGTGATCGAGCCGCAAGTGCTTCTCCTGTCGCTCTCCGTGCTCCAGTCGCGCGTGTCGCATCTGCAGGCCCTCCTGGGGATGCTCGCTCAGGTAATCACGCAGTTAGGTTTTCGTTCGCTCGCTGAGAGTATACTTGGTTCTCTCGGATAGTCCCGATCGTTGATGACCGATTATTGAGTTTGCTAAAAACCCTCTGCTGTATATTGGCCATGGACGGCGGTTAGAAACCATGTATACTGAGTTCTAAGACTCTACCCCCCCCCCCCGTCACACAATAACGATCCTCACCCCCGCAAACCCCTCTCCTTCCCCTCTCAGCCGTCGTCAGCGCTGAAGGTTGACGAGGCGCCTTACGAGCAGGCGGCTGTAGCAGTGGGGACCATGATCCGACAGCTGGCTGTAGCGGCCGTCTCGCTGCTGCCGCCCAACCAGCAAGCTGCTGTACTTCAGGCTGAGCCTCTGCTACAGCCGGCGGGGGCTCTCGAGTCATCCAATCCGCCTCCCGCCGCTAGCGGAACTCCGTCAATCGCCGATGGGGAAACTCAAAATCCGGTTTCCGCTATACTTGCTCCGACCACCACCCACTCTGCTGCTGCTCCGGAAGCAGCGACGTGGATTTCTCCGGAGTTGAAATCCAGCTCAACAGCTGCCGAGCCTGGGGAGCCTCGGCAAGAGCCTGTCGGAGAGGCACGGGCGGAGGTGGCGCCGGATGCAACACCGATGCGCGACCCGACACTTGACGCGCAGAGTTGGATCGCGGTCGGGAGGAAAAGAGGTCGCAACGACGAGTGCGAAACGGAACCTGCTGCAGAAGCCGCCTGCTCTGCCGAACCCCTCCAAAAAAGCAACTTGTGCGCTAGTGTACCAACCCCCCGTTACATGAACACTAGTGAGCTGCGGTCTCCAGGCCTTGGAGTTGCCGTTGCGGCAGAGCCTGATCCGCATAGCGGCATGGAAATTGCGGGAGACATGGAAGCTGGGGGCTATGAGGAGAAATTGGTGGAGGATGTGACTGGTCCGACTGGAGCAAATTCATGCGGACTTCCTACTGCCGGTGTAGTGTCGGAGATGTTCAGCTGCCCGGCTGCAGGCTGCCCGTTCAACAAGCAGCACCCGGGGTTCCGCGCATTCAAGTCGAAGGCGTCGCTGCGGAACCACTACCGTCGGACGCACGCTGGTGAGGCGCTGCTGTGCTCGCGGTGCGGCAGCAAGTCGTTCTGCCTGCCGGCCGACCTGGAGGCTCATGAGAGGCGGTGCGGGCCACGGCGGTGGCAGTGCTCCTGCGGCAACTCGTTTAGGTATGGCGCTGCTGTGCATAGCATATCATGTCATGCCATGTCAGATCATGTCATGTCAAGTCACGCCACGCCATCTCGTATCATGTCATACCATATGATATCATGCCATCGAGAATTGATTACTCTTTCGTGAGTTTGACGTGCTCCTCGTGTGTGCAATGCCTTTGTTGACTCATTGAACCCCGTCTCCTGCACATCTCATCCCCCCTGTTCTGCCGTGCCAGCCGAAAGGACAAGCTCGCCAATCACTTGAAGGTCTTTCCAAGCCACCACGAGCTTGCCACCCAGAGCACGCTGCTCCCAGATCCATCTTATGTGCAGCATACGAGCCCAGTTCCAGTCGAGCAATCTGGTCCGTTCAATGCAAGTGATCAGTTACCCTATGCTGATCCCCATAATAGTGTCGACGTTAACGCACAAGGTCGTTACGATGCCACAACGGGTGCGCATCAAAATCCTGCGACTGCAAGTTCTGTGCTTGATCCGTGTGCTGGACTGCTCGACAAGGATGCCGTGATTGTTGTTGAGGCACTGGTGGAGTCTTTTGCGCAGAAGAGCAAGGAACATGTGATGATTGATACACGAGGGGACATTAGCTTCATGCATTTATTAGTGGAGAATCAGGGGGCTCAGGCAGTGGAGAGTACGTTTTCAATCACTGAGCTCTTCCCTGAGCTGTCATGCTGATTACTTTTGGCTCATTGTACATTTGAGGCTAACATCATGTTACACTGTTTCTGTATAATTGATATAAATCGTAATGTAATCATCCGACCCCCTGAATCACAAGTATCTTATCGAGTACTGATCAAACCATGAACTGCTCCGGGTCATCCTTCGTGGCACTTCTGTTCATTCGCCCCGCCGCAGACAGATTCACGACCAACATTTTATGTGTGCAATTGATGTGCCAAATGCACCCTGGGAAAATAAGATTGTGTGGGATTAATTTTAAGATCCACTAGCTCACGTTCCTTCGAGAATCCCACAGGTGTGCAAGATGGCGGAGCGGTTCAGCTAAAAAAAGGTGCTGTAGAAAGATTCCAGAACGCCAGCCGAACTGGGCCCAGAAGCTGGCAATTTATGCTTGTGGTTCTCTACCATCCCCTGAACAATCCCGACTGTTTGTAGAAGCACTACGTTTCAGCGAATCTGAGGCATGCATCATACAGTACGACACTAATTTCCGCTCAGAGCCAAAAAAATGTTGTGATGAACCTGTAAGATGAGTGTCGTAAGCGTTTGGCGAACATGAACACGGCCAATAAATGGCCAGCACGTAAAGCACAGTAATATTGCAGTTACTACATTCCTCCCAACAACTCCGTCTTGTGTGGGCCTCCCCCGCCGACCAGAAGAGCCATCAGGATGGTCCCCAAATGGTCGGCGCTCTAGGATTGGTCGCGTTCGATTTCAGAGAATAGCTGAGCCTTCAAGCTGTGTCGTGTAGATGGCGCTACGTCGGATCAAACCTAACGTGGAAGAACGAGACATTTTTTCCCTCAACTGTCCTGCCAAAGAGAGCACTGTACAAGATACTGTATCACTTGTCCCTCTAGTGACTGCAGAGGCGTGGGATTCAGATCAGACGCCCCTAGTCACCAATGAAGAGCTATTCTCTCATCTGATAGTCTCAACCTCTGCACACCTGCATCCATTTCGCACCACAGGCTTTCAGAAATCACCCAACCCTGGCCACGGGCTCCCAAACGAAACTACACACCTCGCATTCAGAATGGCGATCTGTTCCGTTCCGTTCCATTCCGTTCCCGTTCCGTTCCGTTCTGTTCCGTTCTCTTCTGTTCCTCCATTTGCTTGGTTCCAATTGGGCCTGGTTTCACCCCAGTCAGTTTCTAAGCAGCTCCGGGCTGAGAACAGTCCGGAGCACCATTCCGGCCAGTGTGTTAGAGCAGCTCTGGCTGAATCATCGCCCAACTTCAACTTGAATAGGGAGGCTGAGATGAGCTGCCCAACGTTCACCGTTGAAAGGTGGAACGGGGTGTATAGTCACTATACACACGGTACTGCTAGTACTACTTATCCCACTGGCAGGATAAGGTGCTTTTTATCATACAGCTCGATCAACCTGCGTTTGCCAGAGTACTGAGAAAGTCCACACGCAGTCCTGTACATCTAGTCGTGCTTTGTCTAAGGACGTATCATCAAGCAGTACTAACTCCTTGCCACAGGCCCGGGATGGGAGATAACAGAGAAATAATAGTAGTGACAGAGCCGTGACTGCCAGCACCCGGCAATGGCGCTTCACCGAAAGCACGAAAGCCTCTCTCCATGTGGTCGGTCAGACTCTAACAGGAAAGCAGGTTCTCACTGCACTGCCCCAGGGTATGATAACACCCAGCCACGTCCCCAGCAGGAACTCTCAGCACATGGGCTGCCAAACCACCCACCACCCCTTCATCATGGGTTTGATTCCCAAGGACCCTCTCCGAGTGACCCACCGGGGAGTTCAACTCAGCAGCAAGCCTTCCGGGCGTCAGCAGTAGACGGCAGGCTGTTGCCAGGTGGTGGGACAATGAGAGTACAGCCATCCCATCATGGTTCCCAAAAGCCCTGTCTCAGTGGCTTTCCGGGGAGTACAGCTCAACGACCGCAGCCCTCCCGAGCCTCAAAGGTAGAAGGCGGGCTGCTGCGGATTGGTGCAATGATGAGAATGCAGCCACCACCCCATTCCCAGGAGCGGCGGCCCTGTCCCAGTGATCCTCCGGGACCTTCAGCCCAGCAGCAGGCCTCCCGGGCCTCACAGGTAGACAGCAGGCTCCTGCCGGGTGGTGTGACAATGAGAATGCAGCCGCCACCCCGTTCCCAGGGGCCCTGTCGTCCCGGCGACCCTCCGGGGAGTTCTGCTCAACGGCAGGCCTACCGGGCCTCACAGTCGAACGGCAGGCTGCTGCTGGGTGGTGACACGATGGCAAAGCATCCATCAACCCATCGTCATTCCCAAGGACACTCAGGGCACGGTGACCCTCGGCGGAGTTCAGCTGAACGGCAGGCCCTCCGGGCCTCACAGGTAGAAGCCAGGCTACTACGGGGTGGTGCGACGATCTTTGAGTCGTCCCAAAAGTCAGTAGTAGAAAAGAGGGTGGCGCCGGGTGGTGCGACGATCATGCCGCTGCCGCCGCAGCTCCAGCCATTGCCAATAGTTGCACGGCCTCCCCGGCCACGTGCCGCCGCTAGTCGCCTGGTTAACTGTTGGGACTTGCATGATAATGACGGTCGTCCAGTTGCTGATGCAGATGCCTGTCGTTCCGGAGTGGACCGACAAGTAATTGCCGGTTGCCTGCCGGGCGTTATGGGAAGAACAGCGGCACTATCGTCTACCATGGGCCAATCGTTTGACATCGTCAGGCTCATTGAGGATTTGATTCGATCTCGGGCAGTTCTGGGTCCTGAACCACCCTCTCCCGAGCCTGCACCTGCAGCAGCAAGGGCTTCAGTCCGTGCTACAGCTGAGACAGGTACAGCAGCATCCCATGCGAGAGTGGTGCTGGGAGGGCAGCATGGGCCAGGAGAGTGGCTGCATCGCCTTACAAGGGCCCAAGTTGGCACAAGAGGGCTTTACTTAGGCCCAATGGATAGTGCTTCTATGGCTGTCACTGCTAATGCTGCTGCTAGTGCTACTACTGCTACTGCTGCTGCTTCTCCAGCTGCTTCTACTGCTACTGCTGCTGTTCCTGCTACTGCTACTCACAGCTGCACACCAAGCAATGTGCCAAGCACCACCTCCCCCTCAAGCACGCGTGCAGCCCTCCCAAGCCAGTATGCAACTTTCCTCTCCTCACTCACCGCTCTCCAGGCTAGAGTATCCGCGTTACAAGCTCTTGTTCGGATCATATCACAGGTACTAGGCTCCTCGGGTTCTTCCCTTGCCATGCCTTGCACCAAATCGCCGCCCCCCTGCTGCTCTCACTTCTGCTCACTATTGTTGTTGTGGCTTTGGCAAGTGTTAAGCCCATCGCCTCAGTCACCCTGAGTCACAACCTTGCCATTCCAAGCCCCTCTTTTCAATTTCCAGCTTTCATCATCCTCTTCTTATCACCTGTCCCTTCCACCCTTGTTTTATGACGCTTCAAGTACAGTCGCTCAATTTACTACTCTTGTTTGCCGACTTGATCCAAATTTTACATACAGCAGCAGCAGGAGGAGAGGGTGGAGAAGGAGAAGGAGCAGCAACAACAGATAAAGGAGGAGAGGGGGGGGGAGGTGGAGGAGGAGGAGGAGGAGGAGGAGGAGGAGGAGGAGGAGGAGGAGGAGAAGGAGGAGGGGGAGGAGGAGGGGGAGGAGGAGGAAGAGGAGGAAGAAGAAAATAAAGAAGCAGAACAGGCACACCAGCAGCAAGGGAAGAAGCAGCAGCAGGAGCAGGAGCAGGAGCAGGAGCAGGAGCAGGAGCAGGAGCAGGAGCAGGAGCAGGAGCAGGAGCAGGAGCAGGAGCAGCAGCAGGAGCAGGAGCAGGAGCAGGAGCAGCAGCAGGAGCAGCAGCAGGAGCAGCAGCAGGAGCAGGAGCAGGAGCAGCAGCAGGAGCAGCAGCAGGAGCAGCAGCAGGAGCAGCAGCAGGAGCAGGAGCAGGAGCAGCAGCAGCAGCAGCAGCAGGAGCAGCAGCAGGAGCAGCAGCAGGAGCAGCAGCAGGAGCAGCAGCAGCAGCAGCAGCAGCAGCAGCAGCAGCAGGAGCAGCAGCAGCAGCAGCAGGAGCAGCAGCAGCAGCAGCAGCAGGAGCAGCAGCAGCAGGAGCAGCAGCAGCAGGAGCAGCAGCAGCAGGAGCATGTAAAAGAATTGGAAGGCACGAAACGTTTTCAGCAGCAGCAACAGAAGCATGACGAGGAGGAGAAGCAGCAGGGGCAGAAGGTGCAGCAGGGGCAGAAGGAGCAGCAGGGAAAAGAACAGGGGAAGAAGACTCATGAGAAGCAGGCTCCAGAAAAACAGGCTCGGGAGAAGCAGGCTGAGGAGAAGCAGGCTCAGGAGAAGCAGGCTCAGGAGAAGCAGGTTCAGGAGAAGCAGGCACGGGAGGCGCAGCGGAAGCAGCAGTGCGACACAGTGGCAGTGGCGATAGTTGGCATGATCAAGAGCCTCGCAGTGGCCGCTGCCAGCCTGCTGCCTCCCCACCAGCAGCACATCGCTCTCCTTCCCCTATTCCCTCTACTGCCAAACCTGCAGGTTGCGTCGACTCTGCCGAGGCAGGATCTACCAAGCCAGATTCTGTCGAACCAAGATTTGCCAAACCAGGCTGTGACAAGCCTAGGGAGAAAGGAAGGTTCAGGTCCGATGGCTTGGGGACAGGCAGCAGGTAAGGATGAGAGGGGCGAGGGGAATGAGAGAGGTAGATGCAGCAGAGGTCAAGAGAAAGAGGATGAAGTGGGGGGAGGGGGTGACGGGGGGAATGATGATGGTGGTGATGACGACAATGTTGAGGAGGGTATGGAGGTTAAAGAGGAAGAGGAGGAGGTAGAGGAAGAGGAGGAGGAAGAGGAAGAAGAAGAGGAAGACGAAGAAAAAGAGGAAAAGGAAGAGGAGATGGGAGAGTCCGATGACAAAGACGAGGAAGAGGGAGAAGGCATGGAGGAGGAAGAGGATTCAAATGGGGAGCAGCATTGGTTGCAGGAGAGGGAACAACAGCAATTGGGAGCAGGAGGAGGCAAGGTGCAACTGCGGCCACAATTCTCAGGAACAAGTCGTTCGATCATGGAGGAGCGACTCAGTGCCGCTAAAAAGGGTAGCTTGGCAAGGGAAGCCGGGCAGAAGCGCAAGCAGCACGAGGAGGAGCATTGGGACGGGGAGCAGGGCGATGGGGAGCAGCATGAGGGGGAGGTGACTCCTCGTAGGCGCAAGAAGTTGAAGCAGCTTCTGCTGCAGCTACAGGCAGCGCTGCAAGAGTCCGTGGCGCAGGGAGGGGGAGCAGGACAGGTAGGAGTGGCAGCACCACCACCAGCAGCAGCAGCAGCAGCTGAGGCGCCATCAGTTGTAGCAGCAGGGCCACCAGCAGCAGCAACAGTAGCAGCAGCAGCAGCAGCAGTGGTCACAGCAGGAACGGCAACAGCAGCAGCTGCTGCAGCAGTAGCACCCGTAGCACTAACAGCAGCAGCAACAACAGCAGCAGCACCAGCAGCAGCAGCAACACCACCGCCACCGCCACCAGCAACACTAACAGTAACAGCAGCGGCAACAGCACCACAAGGGGCAAGTCAGGAAAGTCTTGATTCTTATCCAAGCCCGGCGGCAATCGATTCAGCTCCAACGGGAGCAGTCAAAGCAGAGGGAGAGCAGGGGGTAGCCAAAGCAGAGGGAGAGCGGGAAGCTGCAAGGTGGGAATCCAGGGAAGGAGTAAGGCAGGAGGCTTCAGAGGGGTCTGGACCTTCATCTGCCTTCACTCCCCGTCCCGACACTCGCTGCAATTCCAGGTGTGCACTCTACTCCTGCTCTTATCGTTTCTCTGCTCCTCCTACCTCTGCTCATCCTACCTCTTCTCTTCCTGCCTTTGCTCCTATCCCAGCCCCTGCTTGTTCAACTCTCCTCTTCCCCTCCTCTTCCTCTCATCTTCTTCTCCTCTTCCTCACCTCTTTGTCCCCTCTCCTCCTCTTCTTCTCCCTTTACTCTCCACCCCCACCCCCCCAGCTCCTCCCGCAGCTCTCACATGCCCCCAGCCAGGCTGCCAGCACAACGAGCACCACACTTGCTTGCTCTCTTGTCTCATCTTCTTCCCTTTTCCATCCCTCCTCTTCCTCTCCTCTCCTTCCCCACCCCCGCAGCTCCTCCCAGAGCCCGGCTGCCAGCACAGCGAGCAGCACCCATGCTGCTTCCCTTGTCCACTTCTCCCCTTTCTCTCTTCTTCCTCTCCTCTTCCACTCCTCTTCCCTCCACCACCCCCATCCCCGCAGCTCCTCCCCCACGACCTTCAGCTGCCCAGAGCCAGGCTGCCAGCACAACAAGCAGCACTTTCGCTTCCGCCCGCTCAGGTCCCTTGCCTCGCTGCACACCCACCACCGCCGTGTGCACAGCACCAAGCCCTTCACCTGTTCCCGCTGCCAGGTGAACCTTTTTTTCTTTACTCCACTTCATCTCTCCTCCTCTCTCCGCTGTTTGCTCAAGTCCCTTGCCTTGCTGTACACCCATCACCTACCCATGCACAGCGCCAACCCTTTCACGTGCTCCCGATACCAGGTAATCGTCCTCTTTCACTTCTCTCTCCACACCTCTCCTCTGCTCGCGTGTCTCCTCTGCTCGCGTGTCTCCTCTGCTCTCGTGTCTCCTCTCCCTGCCTCTCATCTCCCCTCCTCCCTTCTCCCCTCCCCTACTTTCCTGTCCCCTCGTCTCTTCCCATCTCCTCTCCTCTCCTCTCCTCTCCTCTCCTCTCCTCTCCTCTCCCCCCTCTTCTCAATCCTTGCTGCAACTCACTCACTCTCCTTCTTCCCCCCTCCTTTTGCCCCTCTTCCTCCCCCCCCCCCCAGATCAAGTCCTTCCCCCTCCACGAGAAGCAGTGCAGTGTGAAGCGGTGGCACTGCTCCTGCTGCTCACTCAAACTTCTCTTCCCTCCCTATCCCCCTCTCCCTTACCCTCAGGTCAAGTCCTTTGACCTTCAGTCCGACATGCGAACACCCGAGAAGCAGTGCGGTGTAAAGCGGTGACATTGCTCCTGCTGCAGCTCACTCACACTCCTCTTCTCTCCGTTCCCCCTCAGATCAAGTCCTTTGGCCTTCAGGCAGACCTGTGGGACAACAAGAAGCAGTGCGGTGTAAAGCGGTGGAATTGCTCCTGCTAGAGCTCACTCACACTCCTCCCCCCTCCCTTTCCCCCTCTCCCTTCCCCTCAGGTCAAGTCCTTTGGCCTTCAGGCAGACCTGTGGGACAACAAGAAGCAGTGCGGTGTAAAGCGGTGGAATTGCTCCTGCTAGAGCTCACTCACACTCCTCCCCCCTCCCTTTCCCCCTCTCCCTTCCCCTCAGGTCAAGTCCTTTGGCCTTCAGGCAGACCTGTGGGACAACAAGAAGCAGTGAGGTGTAAAGCGGTGGAATTGCTCCTGCTAGAGCTCACTCACACTCCTCCCCCCTCCCTTTCCCCCTCTCCCTTCCCCTCAGGACAAGTCTTTTGGCCTTCGGTCCGACATGCGAACACACGAGAAGCGGTGCGGTGTGAAGCGGTTGCACTGCTCCTGCGGGAACTCCTTCAGCAGAAAGGACAAACTATTCAACCATCTCAACACGTTCACAGACCACTCGTCTCTCTTCAACCTCCAACCAGTTGCCGTTCCCGTTCAGCCAAAGCAGAAGGTGCAGCAGAGGAGACAGACGCTGCAGGCCCAAACGCAGCAGGTAGCAGTGTCAAATCATCTTGAGATGCAGACGAATCAGCTACAGGGGGATATGAAGCTTCTAGAGGAGCAGACGAACCAGCTAGAGGCGCATATGAAGCTGCTAGACGCCCCTCAAAGCGCCAGCTGCATGAGGGTGGAACAAGGTGCCCCACCCTTGCCCCAGCAGCACCCCTCCCCACCCTTGCTGCAGCAACGCCCCTCCCTCCCGTTGCCACAGCAGCACCCCTCGCAGCAGCACCCCTCCCTAACCCCACAATCAGCACAGGTGCCTTTGCCTCTGCCAGCCCAGCTGCCCACACAGCCCCCACTGCAGCCCGCAGAGTCAATGCAGTCAACGCAGTCCAGGCAATCAGTGCAGTCACTGCATTCAAGGCAGTCAACGTGGCCTATGCAACCCTCTCCACCTGTGCAGCCCCAGCTGCTTGAACGGCCATTACAGTCCATGCAGTCAACGCAGTCAACACGGACACAGCCAGTACGTTCGAAGCAGTCAACACAGTCAACGCAGCCAGCTCCAGTAGCCCCTCCTGTGATCCATCCAATCCCTCTAACAATCCAGTCACTTGCCCCATCGGTTTTCCCTCCCATCAAGCCTTCCCAACCGCAGGCACAGCCTCGGCCCAGGGCCTGTCTGCCGATAGTGAAAACACGGGCCCATATATCAAGTGGTGGTGGTGCTAACCTGGCGATGTCGAGTCGCAACGCTGACCTGTCAACATTGGATCACGATGCTGACCTGTCAGCATTGTATCGTGACGCTGACCTGTCAAGATTGGATCACGACGCTGACCTAACAACATTGGATCGCAATGCTGACCTGTCAACATTGGATCGCGACGCTGACGTGTCAGCACTGCTGGAGGCGACGTGTCGGGAGATCATTGATTCGGGGGGGAACGAGGCCCTCGGGGCCTCGTGTCGGCTGATTCTCTTGGCGCTGCGGCAGCAGCAGCAACCACAACTTCAGCACCAACAGCAACCGCATCAGCAACAGCATCAGCGGGACCAGCACCTTCAGCAGCAGCAGCAGCAGGAGCAATGGTCACAACAGCAACAGCAGCAGCAGCAACAGCAGGTGCAACAGAAGGTGCAAAAACAGGTGAAACAGCAGAAAAAACAGCAGCTATCCAGCCAAGTACACCCGCCACCCTTCCACCACCAAGAATCCACCTGGTCTGACCGAAATTCCACCTGCGCTAACCAGGAATCTGCCTGGGCTATTCAACAATCCACCTGGGCTAACCGAGAATCCACCTGGGCGAAAAAACCTGTGCCGTCCTCCTATGCACCAATCACTACTGACCTTCCACCCCAGCTTCAAAGCCCGAGCCGACTAGTGGATCTTGGGTCGGCCCAAGGTGTAACCGATTTTCCACCCCAGCACCAAAGCCTGGGCCTTCAAGCAGTTTTTGAGGCACACTTAGAGTCAACTGACCCTCCATCCGCCCTCCACAGCCCTCCAACAATCCAACACGGCCTCATTCGCGGGCTCCCTGAGGATGGCACAGGGGCAGTGGGGGGGATTTCTCTTGAAGAGCTTTTTCCAGAGTTGCAAGATGACTTCTGATTCTCTGCGGCACTCTGGCGTTCACAGGGGCAGCCGTGGGAATCTCTCTTGAAGAACACTTTCCTGAGCTGCAAGATGACTTCTATAACCCCTCCAGCTATTAAGCATGGTTGCTAGCCTAAGACCTACAAGTCGGTCAAATATATCTCTAGCAAATGTACAGGCTAGGCTATTGTATATTGCGTTCCTTCGTCGCTTGATTTTGAATCAAGGCAAGACAAGGCCACATGGGGTATGTAATCTGCTCCTTGAGTATTCGATTCATTCTTCTGCATGCTGACAAGTGAACCAACCGTCCTCAAGCTGGCTTGGAGAGCTCAGACCAAGTCAGGAATTTCACGCGATTTGGCTTCAAAAGGTTGAGTTTCATGGTTTTTTTTTTTTACCTAGGCTGATTCATCAGCCTTTTTTTGTGGGTGGGGCTGATTCAACAAGGAGACCGATCCAGCCATTCAAGCTGCACCATTCATCAGAACATATGGAAGAGACAGACACTAGGGTCTTATGGAAATATCAATGAAAAAATGGATTGTCAGAGGGTAAAGAGCATATAATACCCAATTCTTATACTATGGACGTACTCTTGAACTGTGTATTCAAATTCTTTATTGATGTAGATGCTTGCTCATTATTTTTCATCCTCGATAGGTCCACGGATGTGAGTGTTCCGCAACATAGGCAGATTAGATTGAAATCTGGTTGTAGCCTTCTCATTGGCCATAATTGTTGTCTACATGTGCTTCTTTCCCCAACCTTGAAATTGTTTTCATGAACAATCAAACATGCATGGATTTAATGTGCATAATCATGTGTTCACACCCTTATCATGCTAGGAAAACACTAGAAAATGCATTAAATTGCCATAAAATGCTAGCATACAAGTTTGAGGTTGGGGGTCTTATAATGTTTACCCCTCTAAGGGTATACTAAAAACTAGCCGAAATGGAAGTCCCGACCCTTGATTACAGACCCGGGGCACTTCTGTTATGGAGGGACTTACCAGTATATTCGGGAGATTACGGTATATGTAGCAACAGGTGCGGGCTCTGGCAGAAGCTGCAGCAGCACGTTCTGCAACAGCTGAGCCCACAGTTCTTTCAAGCTAAGCATGCATTCTCCAGCATATGCACAAGAGCCTGATCCGCGGGGTGACAAGGAAACTGGGGGAGGCATGGAAGAAAGATTCGACTAGGAGAAATTGGCGGAGGAGGAGACCAGAACCACAGGAGCAACCCCGTGCAGACTTCATATCGTTGGTGTTGTATCGGAGATTTTCAGCTACCTGGCTTCAAGTTGCCCGTTCAACAAGCAGCACCCGGGGTTCCGTGCGTTTAAGTCAAAGGCGTCACTGCAAAACCACTATCGGCGGACGCACGAATTTGTGGCGCTGCTGTGCTCCGCGGTGCGGCAGCAAGTGGTCCTGCCTGCTGGCGGCCGCATGTGGGCCACGGCGGTGGCAGTGCTCTTGTGGCAACTCTTTCAGGCATGGCGCGGGCCCCTCTGCTGCACAAGTCGTATTATATTATGTCATGCGATGTCACAACCTGTCACGTCATGTCATATCATGTCATGCCATGTCACATCATGTCACGTCACGTCACATCATGTCAGGTCACGGCGTATCATCATACCACTGTATGATTTAGAATTCTTTTGTGAGTCGGGCAAGGTTCTCATGTTTCCAGTGCCGGTGCTTTTCATTTTACCCTGCATCCCGCACATCTCATCCCCATTGTTCCACCATGTCAGCCAAAAGAACAAGCTAGCCAACCACTTGAAGGTTTTCCAAAGCCAGCATGAGCTTGCCTCCCAGAGCACACTTCTCCTACCGTATTCTCCCGGACATAACACCCTAGGGTAGATCTAAAAATACAGGGAAAAAAAGGGGGGTGTCTTCTCATAGGAAAAAGCTACATAATACCCGGGTGCATATAGATGGTATATTTTAGTGTTAGTTTTTTTTTTATTCGAGAAGTCGAGTGTCTCCATGGGCTTTTAAACATCACATGTTAAGGCGCGAATGCCAGTTTCGATGCGAACGTCATCAACCCCTCGAAAATGTCATTTGGCACCCTCCCTGGCCACATGCAGCGGAAGATTCGCCAGCACGTGGCGACAGCGAAATAGTGGGCGGGGGGGAATCTCGGCAGATTTGATGTGAAAGAACCGAGAAATTTCATCGAGCGAGGGATTTTCGCGATATACTTCCGTGTTTGCACCGACTCGTTAACAGCTATAACATAGAATCTGTAAGAAAAGGGGGGTGTTATAAAAAATCATCCAAAAAGGGGGGTATAGTGAAATCGAGGTCGCCCATAGCACCCACCCTGCACAAGCTACCCAGGGGTGCTCTATCATGGGGGGGTGTTTTGTCCGGGAGAATACGGGTAGATCCATCTCCTATGCACAATGCCGGCACAGCTCTCCGTGAGGATTCTGGTCCGTTCAACGCAACATTTATTGTAGGGATACACCTATCATTGGCCCAGGCCCCACCGATCAGTTACCCTGTGCTGATCCCTGTAACGGTGTCGATGTGAACACACAAGACCGTTACGATGCCACAATGGGTGTGCATCAAGCTTCCGCCATCGGGAATTCCATGCATGGACCTTGCAATGGAGTGCTCTGCAGGGATGCTGTGAGTGCCGTCAAGGCACTGGCCGAGTCTTTCGTGAGGACAAGCAAGTAACATGTGATCATTGGGACCCAAGGGGACAAAAGTTTGATGCATTTATTACCGTATTCTCCCGGACAAAATACCCCCCCATGATAGAGCACCCCCGGGTAGCTTGTGCAGGGTGGGTGCTATGGGCGACCTCGATTTCACTATACCCCCCTTTTTGGATGATTTTTTATACCACCCCCCTTTTCTTACAGATTCTATATTATAGCTGTTAACGAGTAGGTGCAAATACGGAAGTATATCGCGAAAATCCATCGCTCGATGCAATTTATCGGTTCTTTCACATAAAATCTGCCGAGATTTCCCCCCGCCCACTATTTCGCTGTCGCCACGTGCTGGCGAATCTTCCGCTGCATGTGGCCAGGGGGGTGCCAAATGACATTTTCGAGGGGTTGATGCCGTTCGCGTCGAAACTGGCATTCGCGCTTTAACATGTGATGTTTAAAAGCCCATGGAAACACTCAACTTCTCTAATAAAAAAATCTAACACTAAAATATACCATCTATATGCACTTGGGTATTATGTAGCTTTTTCCTATGAGAAGACACCCCCCCTTTTTCCCCTGTATTTTTAGATCTACCCTAGGGTGTTATGTCCGGGAGAATACGGTAGTTGAGAGCGAGAGAGAAGAGGCTGTGGAGAGTAGGTTTTCAGTCACCGAGTTGTTCCCTGAGCTGTTGTGCGAAATACTTACGGCTCGTTGAAATACCTGAAGATAATTCTAGCATACTAAATATTTTCTGTATTGCTGGTATTGACTTCGAACTACACCCCGCCGTCCGACCCCTTATCACAACTATCCGGTTCAATACTGGTCAAACTAACCATTCGCCCGAAGCAACCAGTAGCTAGACGAAATATTTGGCGCTTCTTTTCACTCGCCTCTGTGCCGCCGACACTTTCACGACCAGCAATTTTAAAAGGGAATTTATACGCGCAGTCACAATTATGGCCGTATTATCACGTCTGGTTACGGGGTCATCACGGACAGTCACAGTACAGTACCTCGCTATCACGCGTGATCACAGCGCAATCACGCTTGGTCACACCTCGCCCCGCAGGGTTATCACGTTTGGTCACTCGTTGAAACGCCCGCCAAAAAGTCGAAACTCCAGAATCTACTGTAAAGATTCGGGTAAAATTATCTCGCGCGCGTTTTGTTTGTAGCGAAAAACATGATGTGACAGCTAAAATACACTCGGACCTTGTTAGGAACTGATGCAGGATAATCCAGAGTCTGCATTTTGTAGTGAATCACCGCCATCAATAGCAGTTGCGATTTTACCATTAATCAATTGGGAATGATACCTTGACATTTTTGCTTGCACACCCAGTAATAAATAATTCAAGTACAAAGTGTAATTTGTATCTCAGACATATGTCAATCTGGATTATCCTGCATCAGTTCCTAACAAGGTCCGAGTGTATTTCGGCTGTCACATCACGTTTTTTGCTACAGACAAAACGCGCGCGAGATAATTTTACCCGAATCTTTACAGTAGTTTCTGGAGTTTCGACTTTTTGGCGGGCGTTTCAACAAGTGACCAAACGTGATAACCCTGCGGGGCGAGGTGTGACCAAGCGTGATAGCGCTGTGATCACGCGTGATAGCGAGGTATTGTACTGTGACGGCCCATGATGACCCCGTGACCAGACGTGATAATACGGCAATAATTGTGACTGCGCGTATAATTTCCCATTTTGAGGTATCACACAATTCTCTTGGCGCTCAATGCCAAAAATGCAACTGTTGAATTCGGAGCCTGTTTGCAATTTTCGCCTATGTTATGCCAATCACTCACATGGCCAATCAATGACCCCAATCTTCTCACGACACGGTGTAATGAAGTAACTCATTTTTGTTACCAGTGTCAGAGCCACTCAGGCGCAGCCTTCCAACAACTCCATCCCTTCGCTTGGTGGGGCCTCCCCCGCCGACCAAAAGAGCCAGGCTGGCTCTCAAATGGTCGGCGCTCTGGGATTGGTCACGTCCCATTCCAAACAAAAAATGAGCGTCAGAAATGTGTCGTATACAACTTAGGATTCTGTTCCACATTGGCATTTAGCGCGGTTCGAGTCCAGCGTGGCAGAACAAGACACTACAGTATTTTCCGTCAACTGAACTCCACTCCAAGTGCAACCCTAAATCTCAGGCTCCCCTAATCACAACAGAACAGCAATTCTGCCTAATCATCTCCAACAACAGCACAGCTGCATCCATTCCGCTCCACAGGCCGCCCAACTCCAGCCAGGGCAGTCCCCACCCGAGAATGCACGGAATGGCGCTCCGTTTTGTTCCGTCCCGTTCGGTTCTGTTCTGTTCTGTTCCGTTCTCTTGTGCTGCCCAGTTCTGATCAGGCTGGTCTCACCCTCCCCGAATTGGGCAGTGTTTCATGCAGACAACGTACGGCCGTGAAATGCGGCATTTCAATGCTCCAACCATCAACACTCCTTTTCAACTTGAAGCTGAATTTGAAATTGTGGCTGTGATGAAACGCGCTGCGTTCAACGGTGGATCGGATCCACTGAAGGTACTATTATATCCTCATCAGATACAGGTCATTTGAGCCTGCTTTTGCCAGACCATTAATAAGTCTATAGAAGTAGGGGAAAAATGTACACGGCTGCTACTAGCAGTGCTGTGCACACTCGATCACGTGACGCAGTGTGTAGAGTGGCAGTAGTGCTTTGCCTAGTAATCGCAACTCTTTGCCGGAGGATCCTCTGAGGGAAAACAACAGAGAACTACTACTCCATTGGCAAAAGCCTGACTTCGGATAGAAAATCAATGTGTTTCCTGACTTCTACCACTACCAGCAGCACTGGCCCAGCACCGTTGGGGACTCGCAGCAGGCGACCGGCGGCAGCAATGCCGCTTCACGGAAAGAACGAAAGCCCTCCGTTTGCAAGGACCGTGGTTGGTGGCGAGAGAACGGAAGAACGGCGGTTCTCAGAGAATCATTCTGAACGGGGCGGGCCAGGGAAGCATCATGATGATGACCATGTTGATACAGATGTGGAGTCAGGAGCGTACAAGGCTACTACTGCTTCCGCCATTGCTGCTAGTAGCACTGCTATTACAATCAGCCAGGACCCCAGCAGGGGTGCTTCTGTTTCTAACAGTGCTGCGGGGCAGAGAAGGCACCAGTGGGGCGGAGGGAGGGATGGATTTCAGGAGAGAAAAGGAGAGGTGTTGGAATGTGGAAGCAGCCAGCAACGTCCCCAGCAAGGACTCCTTCCACTAGGGCTGACAATGGTTCAGCCACCGCCCCATTCCCAGGGGCCCTGTCCCAGTGACCATCCTGACCGTTCATCTCAACAGCGGCCGGCCTTCCGGGCCTCACTGGTGGACGGCAGGCTGCCGCCAGGTGGAACCGTTGTGCCACAGCATCCACCGCCCCATGATCCTCAGGGGCCCTGTCCCAGTGAACCTCGTAGGGAGCGCTCATTTCAACGGCAGGCCTTCCGGGCCTCACTGGTGGACGGCAGGCTGCTGCCGGGTGAGGCCGTGGCGCGGCTGCAGCTCCAAGCATCGCCACCACTGGCTGCGGAACTACCCCGACCAGGTGCCGCCGGTGCTACTTGTCGTCTGGCTTATCCAGTGCCGGCCGATCGGCAATATCAGCATGCCGATGGTGCTTATGATGATGATGATGACGCTGCAGGTATACCAGGTGGCGATCGCCTAGTGAATGCTGGTTGTGTCATCGTCGCAGGTGTACCAGTCGAAAGATCATTGCTACCTTCTGACACGGTCCCCTCATCTGACGTCGTCAGGCTCATCGAAATTCTGCTCCGAACCGCCCGAGCTGGTTCGAGTTCCGAACCACTCATTCCCGAGGCTGCACAAGCTGCAGCGGCAACCCCTGTAGTCCGTGCTACAGACGCTGCAGGAAACGGCGCCAAGCAGGCTGACGTAGCAGCTGCATTTACCGCCACCTGCCGACTTGCTGCTACAACAGCATCCCGTGCCGCTAAGGTGACGCTGGGAGGGAAGCAAGGGCAAGGGGATTGGCTGCATCCCCTTCCAGTGTCCCAGCCTGGCACGAGAAGAAAAAGAAAGGAAAACACCGGTTCTGCTGCTGCTACGTCTGCTGCTGCTACAGCTGCTGCTGCTACTGCCACCGCCACAACTTCTACTACTGACAGCAGCAGACCAGGAAACGTGCCAAGACCCAGCTCCTTCACATGCACCGGAGGAGCCCTACCCAGCCAGCATACAACTCTTCTCTCCTCGCTCACCACCCTCCAAGCCAACGTATCCGCGTTACAAGCACTCGTTCGCATCCTTTCGCAGGTAGGCTGCTTGGATATTCCATTGTCAGGCCGTGTCCCAAATCCCCATGCCCCTGCTCCTCACTATCTGTTCTATGGCATCACAAGACGCAGCACACACTTTGCTGACGTGGCACCCACGGGATCCAGCTCACTGTTGCTCACCACTGTTGCTCACCACTGTTGCTCACCACTGTTGCTACAGCTCTGGCATTTGGCAGGTGTAAGCTAAGCACATAGCTCCAGTCGCCCTGCTTGGCTATCTTGTTTCCCATTCCCTCTTTCCAGTGCCGAGTCTTCATCGCCCTCTTTTCATCACCTTGTGCTGCCACCCTTGGTATATGATGCCCCAGATATTGCTGCCGGTTTCACCAATCTGCTAATGCGCTCATTGTGTGAGCATTGTGTTTCTTGCCACCATTGTATTACTGCCCTATTTCAGAAACAGCAGGAGGGAATGGAGAAGGAGAAGGAACGGCACGGGGAGGAGGAGGAGGAGGATGAGGAGGAGGAAGAAGAGGAGGATGAAGAAGAGGAGAAGAAAGAAGAGGAGAAGGAAGGGGAGGAGAAGGACGAAAAGGAAGAGGCGGAAAAGGAGGAGGAAGAGGAGCATCCACAACAGCAGGAGGGGAAGCGGCAGGAGCAGCAAGGAAAGGAGAAGGAGCAGAATGAGGACTGCGGCGTAAAGCAGGACGACGAGGAGCGGGAGAAGCAGGCTCAGGAGAAGCAGCGGAAGCAGCAGCGGGATGCAGTGGCAGTGGGAATCGTTGGCATGATCAAGAACCTTGCAGTGGCTGCTGCGAGCCTTCTTCCCCCAAACCAGCAGCACGCCGCTCTCCTAGATCTGATCCCTCTGCTGCCGAACCTGCAGGTAGCGTCGGCTTTGCCGAGGCAGGTTCTGCCGAACCAGAATCTGCCGAACCAATCTTCGCCATACCAGGCTCCGATGGACCGAGGGAGTAAGGAAGGTTCGGGTCCGATGGCTCGGGGACAGGAAGCAGGTAAGGATGAGGAGCAGAGGGGTGGGGGGAATGAGGGAGATAGACATAGCATGGATGAGGAGAACGAAGGGGAAGAGGGAGAAGAGGAAGCGGAGGGAGGGAATGATGATGGTGGTGATGATGATGGCGACGATGAGGATATGGAGGAGAACGGGGAAGAGAAAGACGAGGAGGAAGAGGAAGAGGAAGGGGAAAAAGGCGACAAGGAGGAAGAGGATGCAGAGGAGGAGCAGGATAGGCTGCAGGAGAGGGAAAGAACGGAAGGGGATGGAGGAGGAGGCAAGGAGATGCAACTGCGGCCGCAGGTCGCAGTTACAGGTGATTTGAGAGTCAGGGAACGGCTCAAGGCTTCTCAAACAAGGCCGCACGATAACGAGTGTGCTGGTATGGGTAGCTGCTTGGCCGGGGATACCCGGTTGAAGCGCAAGCAGCGCGGCGGGGAGGTTAGCCCTCGCAGGCGCAAGAAGCTGAAGCAGCTGCTGCTGCAGATGCAGGCAGTGCTGCAAGAGAGGGTGGCGCACGGGGGAGGACCGGGGACAGGAGGAGTGGCAACGCCAACAGCAGCAGCAGCAGCAGCAGCAGCAGCAGCAGCAGCAGCAGCAGCAGCAGCAGCAGCAGCAGCAGCAGCAGCAGCAGCAGCAGCAGCAGCAGCAGCAGCAGCAGCAGCAGCAGCAGCAGCAGCAGCAGCAGCAGCAGCAGCAGCAGCAGCAGCAGCAGCAGCAGCAGCACCAGCAGCAGCAACAACAGCAGCAGAGTCAGAGGCGGCGTCAGCAGCAGCAGTAACAGCAGGAACAGCACGACCAATAGCACATACAGCAGCACAAGAACCAGCAGCAGCAGTAACAGCAGAAGCACCACCACCACCACCAGCATTAACAGCAGCAGCACTACCACCAGAAGCAGTAACAGAGGCAGCAGCACCACCAGTAGCAGCAGCACCACCAGTAGCAGCAGCACCACCAGCAGTAACAGAAGCAGCAGCACCCCCACCAACAGTGACAGCAGCAGCAACAGCACGAGCGGCAGATACAAAAGCGGTGAAGGCAGCACAAGGACCAAAGAAAGAAAGCATTGACTCTGATCCAGACCCGTTTGCATTTGACTGGGCTCCAAAGGGAGCAGGCAAAGCAGAGGGAAAGCAGGAGGGTGCGAGTGGAGCTGTCAGGCTGGGAGTAAAGCAGGAGGCTTCAGATGGTTCTGGGCCCTCGTCTGGCTTCACTGTCCGTCCCGACGCTCTCTGTGCTTCAAGGTGTCGTCTCTACTCCTGCTGCTGCTGTCGCTCTGCCACTCTTTGCTCTGATCCTCCTCCTACCTCTGCTCCTCCTCCTACCTCTGCTCCTCCTCCTACCTCTACTCCTCCGAGCTGTGCTTTCTCCCAGAGTTAACTACTTACCTATGAAGCGTTTTTTTTTCTCCCTCCCTCAGTCATTTTCTTCCTCCCTACCTCCCTCCCTCTCTCCACCCACATCCCCCCAGCTCTTCCCCCACGGCCTTCACCTGCCCAGTACCGGGCTGCCAGCACAACGAGCACCACCCGCGCTTCCTCCCCAGTCTCATCCCCTTCCCCTGTTCACGTCTACTGTTCTGCTCCTCTTCCTCTCCGCCCCCACCCCCCTTCAGCTCCTCCCCCACAGCCTTCACCTGCCCCGTGCCGGGCTGTCAGCACAACGACCAGCACCCGCGCTTCCGCCCGCTCAAGTCTCTCTCCTCGCTGCACACCCACCACCTCCGCGTGCATGGTTCCAAGCCATTCACTTGCTCCCGATGTCAGGTGATCGACCTCTTTCACTTTACTCCACTGTCCTCTCCTCTCCCGTCCTTTCCTCTCCCCTTGTCGCATCCCATCCCCTCCGCCCTCCTCCCATCTCCTCTCCTCTCTACTCCTCCCTTTTTCTCTCCTCGCATCTCTTCTCCTTTCATTCCTCTTTATCTGCTTCAACATCTCAGATCTTTCACATCTAACTTTCTACTCACGAGGGGTGGTGTGATCACGTGGTGCTCTCCCTGTGGCGACTCAATCATCCTTCGAGTCTCTCTAATCTGATATCTCTAATCGTTCTGCGCAGGTCAAGTCCTTTGGCCTCCAATCCGACCTGCGAGCACACGAGAAGCAGTGTGGTGTGAAGCGGTGGCACTGCTCCTGCGGGAACTCCTTCAGCAGAAAGGACAAGCTAGCCAACCACCTCAACACCTTCACCGACCACTCCCCTCTCTACAACCTCCAACCAGTCGACATCCCCGTTCAGCCAAGGCAGAAGCAGCAGAAGAAGAGACAGCTTGAGGCACAGACGATGCAGGTAGAGGCGCAGGCGAGGCAGCTTGAGGCGGGTATAAAACAGGTAGAGGCGCAGGCGGAGCAGGCTGAAGCCCAGAGGAAGCAACTGGAAGCCCCTCCGAAAAACGCCAGGCACATCAACCACGTGGCATTCACGGGCCAATCCCCTGCCAGTGCCAGTCACGTGGGGCGCTCTGTCAGCTGTGCTTCCGAGGGGACCCATCCCTGGGGGCAAAACGCCGTGGAGAGGAACGCATTGGAGAGGAGTGGCTCACAAGGGAACGAGGCGAGGAGTGGGTATGTGTCGCTGCTGCTGCAAGAAGCGCAAGGGTTGGACCAGAAGTCTCCCTTGCAAGCAGAGGGTTTTGAGGGTTTTGAGCTCCGTGAACAGGCTCAGCACTCCCAGCAGTCGCAGCAGACCCAGCAGTCGCAGCAGACCCAGCAGACCCAGCAGACCCAGCAGACCCAGCAGACCCAGCAGACCCAGCAGACCCAGCAGACCCAGCAGACCCAGCAGGCCACATTGATGGACGAGACTCATGCATCCCCTGCTCTCGCCACCCTGCCAATGAACACGCCTGTGCCACCCCTGCAAGCACCCAAGCCCCTGGGAAAATGTGCCATACCCTTACCGCAGCAACACACCTCCCCGGCCTTGCTGCAGCACCACCCCTCCCCGCCCTTGCCACAGCAACACTTGTCCCCACCCGCGCGGTCAGCACAGGTGCTTCCTCTGTCTCTGCCAACCCAGCTGCCCACACAGTCTGTCCCCGCTGCAGCCCCACTCCACCCTGCACAGTCAACGCAGTCAACACAGTCAACGTGGGCTATGCAATCCTCGCCGCCTGTGCAGCGCCTGCCATCTGAACGGCCAGTGCAGTCAATGCAGTCTACGCAGCGAATGCAGTCAGCACAGTCCGTGCAGTCAATGCAGTCAACGCAGCCAGTTCCACTTGCCACTTTAAGCGCCCCTTCGGTTCTCCCGGTGCTCCCTCCAACTGCCCAAGTGATCCATCCAGTTGTCCCCTCGGGATTCCCTCCTTCCGAGCCTTTCCCTCCCCCCGAGCCTTTCCCTCCCTCCGAGCCTTTCCCTCCCTCCGAGCCTTTCCCTCCCTCCGAGCCTTTCCCTCCCTCCGAGCCTTTCCCTCCCTCCGAGCCTTTCCCTCCCTCCGAGCCTTTCCCTCCCTCCGAGCCTTTCCCTCCCTCCGAGCCTTTCCCTCCCTCCGAGCCTTTCCCTCCCTCCGAGCCTTTCCCTCCCTCCGATCCTTTCCCTCCCTCCGAGCCTTTCCATCCCTCCGAGCCTTTCCCTCCCTCCAAGCCTTTCCCTCCCTCCGATCCTTTCCCTCCCTCCGATCCTTTCCCTCCCTCCGAGCCTTTCCCACCCCATGCACTGGCTGAGCCCACGGCTGATCTGCCAATGCTGGATGCACACGCTCATCTGTCGAGCTCTGATGCTGACCTGTCAACATTGAATCACAATGTTGACCTGTCAACATCGAACTGTGATGCTGACCTGTCAGCGCTGGAGGCGTCGTGTCGGGCGATTATTGGTTCGGGGAAGAATGAAGCCCTCGAGAATTCGTGTCAGCTGATCCTCTTGGCACTGCTGCAGCAGCAGCAGCAGCAGCAGCAGCAGCAGCAGCAGCAGCAGCAGCAGCAGCAGCAGCAGCAGCAGCAGCAGCAGCAGCAGCAGCAGCAGCAGCAGCAGCAGCAGCACTTACAGCAGCGTCAACAGCAGTCGCAGCAGCAACCGCAGCAACAGCAACCACGACAGCACGGGCAGGACCAGCAAATTCAGAAGCAGCCGCACCAGCAACAACAACAGCAACCGCTGCATGAACTACAGTCGCAACAACAGCAGCAACCGCAGCAGCAACATAAGCAGCGACTGCAGCAGCAGCAGCAATCTCGGCAGCGGCAGCAGGTAGAGGTGCACATGTGGGCGCAGAGGCAGAAGATGCAGCAGGTTGAAGCATCGCATCAGCAGCAAGGGCAGCAGCAGCAATTGGTGCAGCGGCTGCAACAGGGACAGCAGCAGCAACTGCAGCAACAGGGACAGCAGCAGCAACTGCAGCAACAGGGGCAGCAGCAGCAACTGCAGCAACAGGGACAGCAGCAGCAACTGCAGCAACAGGGGCAGCAGCAGCAACTGCAGCAACAGGGGCAGCAGCAGCAACTGCAGCAACAGGGACAGCAGCAGCAACTGCAGCAACAGGGGCAGCAGCAGCAATTGCAGCAACAGGGGCAGCAGCAGCAATTGCAGCAACAGGGGCAGCAGCAGCAACTGCAGCAACAGGGACAGCAGCAGCAACTGCAGCAACAGGGGCAGCAGCAGCAACTGCAGCAACAGGGACAGCAGCAGCAACTGCAGCAACAGGGGCAGCAGCAGCAACTGCAGCAACAGGGGCAGCAGCAGCAACTGCAGCAACAGGGACAGCAGCAGCAACTGCAGCAACAGGGGCAGCAGCAGCAATTGCAGCAACAGGGGCAGCAGCAGCAATTGCAGCAACAGGGGCAGCAGCAGCAATTGCAGCAACAGGGGCAGCAGCAGCAATTGCAGCAACAGGGACAGCAGCAGCAATTGCAGCAACAGGGGCAGCAGCAGCAATTGCAGCAACAGGGGCAGCAGCAGCAACTGCAGCAACAGGGGCAGCAGCAGCAACTGCAGCAACAGGGGCAGCAGCAGCAATTGCAGCAACAGGGGCAGCAGCAGCAATTGCAGCTGCAATTTACGCAGCAGCAGCATCGACAGCAACACAAAAACCAACCGCAACAGCAACAGCAGCAACAGGGGGGGCAGCAGGTGCAACAGGTGCAGCAACAGCAACAGGGGAGGCAGCAGGTGCAACAGGTGCAGCAACAGCAACAGGGGGGGCAGCAGGTGCAAAACCAGGTGGAACGGCAAAAACAGCAGCATTTTCAGCTGCAGCCATCCAGCCAGGTAGTCCCACCGCCCTTTCACCACCAAGAAACCACCTGGTATAGCCAAGAACCCACCTGGACTAACCAAGAACCCAGCTGGGCTAACAACCCTGTGCCAGCCCCCTATACAGCACCTACTACTGACCCTCCATCCCAACCCTTAACCCGCGGTCTTCCTCTCCAGTCAACGCCAGCAGCCACTGAATTTCTTCAGTCAACCCTAGAGTCAACCCTAGAGTCAACGTGCCTTCCACCGCCCCACCATAGCTGGAACACCAGGGTGGCCCTTGAGTCAACCCAAGGGTCAGCTGACCTTCCACCCCAGCTTCAAAGCCCAAGCCATCAAGTGGCCCTTGAGACTAACCTAGAGCCAACTGACCCTCCACCTTCCCACCACGCCATCCCAACACCCCATCACAGCCTCATTCACGGGGTGCCTGAGGATGGCACAGGGACAGTCGGGGGAATATCGCTCGAGGAGCTTTTTCCCGAGCTGCAAGACAGCTTCTGAGACTCTCTTTTCTACGCGCCTCAAAACTCGCCTCTGTTTTTTAGGCGCCTCAAAACTCGTCTCTGTTTTCGAGGCGCCTCAAAAACAGTCAGGGTAACAACTCTGGAGGAGTGCTTTCCTTTCCCAAGCTTCAAGACACCCTCAAATCTCTGTTTCAGTTACGCGTTCATGCTTTGCCACCTTACCACAGAGTGTGGGGCAAAGGAGAACCAAACTTCGAGGCTTGAGATGTCTCGAAATTCCAGGATACGATTGTAGGACCAGGCTGAGTGGTTGACAGCATCAGGCCTGCAGGGTCCTTATTAGTCATATGATCATATATATTTTCCGCAACTAGGCTTCTACCATAATATAATGTGTTCCTTTAATGGTCATTGTGCCCGTAAATAGGCAATGCATCTTGCAAATAGGCAAGGCCTTTTTGTAATCTGTTCCGTTTTTAATTGATTGTTTCTGCTGCACGTTGACTAGTGAACCATCCATCGTCAATCAGGCTTGGAGCTCAGAGTCTCAGTCCCTCAACCAGCGATGCAAGGATACTGCCACTAACCACAAGGCGAGCAGCGCCCAGCGCAAGGTGGGTAATCGCCAGTGCAAGGTGAGTGATGACCGGCGCAAGGAGAGTAGCCACACCACCTTGCAATGCAACACCATAGAGAGATATAAACACAATATCCAACATGATACTCAGGAACTGCACCGGAACATGCTGCAGCATCTGAGCCCACAGGTCTAGCGGCCCTGGAATGCAATCTGCAGCATCTGAGCCAGCCTTTCTTTGAGGCGTCTTGAAAAACATCTAAGCAGCAGCAGGTTCCGGCTCTGGCAGAAGCTGCAGCAGCACGTTCTGCAGCATCTGGGCCCACAAGTCCTGCGGCCCGAGCATGAACTTTCCAGCATCTCAGCCGGATAGCCCTTCCTTGAGGCGTTCCAGAAAAAAATTTAAGCAGCAGCAGCAGCAGCAGCAGGTTCTGGCTCTGGCAGCAGCTGCAGCAGCACGTTCTGCAGCAGCTGAGCCCACACGTGCTGCAGCTCGGGAATGCAGTAGTGCAAGCACTCCTCGTGATTCAACTCCGGTATAACCCCTGGTGCGAGTCCGGTCGAAGCACCGTCACCGTGGGTCTAGGCAGCAGCAGGCACCGGCGCTGGCAGAAGCTGCAGCAGCACGTCCTGAAGCATCTGAGCCCACAGGTCCTTTTCCAGGCCTCATTTTGGCGTTCAAAGAACATCCCAGCAGCAGGAGCCGCAGCAGCATTGTGTCATCTAGGCGTCAACAGCAGGCGCCGGCTCTGGGAGTAATTGCAGCAGCACGTTCTGTAGCATCTGGGCCCACAGGTCCTGCGGGCCTGGAATGCAGTAATGCAAGCAGTCCTCGTGGTTCAACTCCGGAATGAACCCCTGATGCGAGTCCGGACGAAGCACCGTCATCGCCGCTACATCCAAGTACACGCCGCCCACCTCCTCCACTGCCGCCCGCGCCAGCTCGTTCTGCTCGTGAAACTTCCCCCAGAAGAACGGCAGGTTGTCCGTGGGACCCGGCACGAGCAGCGGCTTGTCGTGTTCCGAGCAGTTGGCATGGCCTTGCACGGTGGTTCGATAGATCAAGAGCGCGTCCGGGAGCTTGTTCCGGAGAAATCGCACCGTCGAACGGACCGCTGAGATGAAGTGTCGGTCCGGGCGGTAGTGCGCGCCGCGATTCAGTATAACCACGCGGGCGCCGGTGAGTAAAGAGAGGCGGGCGAAGGGGACTCGGTCGAACTTGATCTGCGAGTTGGAGAGCTGGAGGTAGTCGTGGCGAATGAACCGGATGGTGAGATTGGCGCACACGTTGCTGTGAAGCTTGTAGTCTCGACAGAAAGAGTGCCTGACATGGTCAGGTTCGATGAGCTCGCTGCATTCCTTGGGGATCGTTTCCTCCACGGCCCACGTGGCGGGTTTCTTTACATGCGTCAGCATGTTGTTCACCAGCACGCGCACAAACTGCTCCTGTAACGAATCGCCTATAAGGAGTACAAGCGCGCCGCTCCCGTCGCCCTTCTCCCTCACAGCCTCCCCTTTGAAAGCCGCCTCTTCCCTCTCCTCCTCCTCCTCTTCTGTCAGCGGCATCCCTGTTCCATTCCACCTTCTCCCTCTCACCCAGTCACACACCACTCGGCCATCAAAAGCATCCCATGCCCCACACTTACCCTCCGTGTCCCACACGTATTTCAGCTGGGGCCGTACGTCCCACTCCTCCTGCCGCACCTTCCTCTCTTCTGGAGGAAGTTTCATAATGGAATCTGCGATTTGATCTGCTTTGGAGACCACGACAGCAGTAGGGGATGCTGCCATGTGTCTTTTGTCGCAGTAATTCGAGTAACCCTTGAATTCCCAGGGTAATCGCCTCGGCCTCGGGTCGAATTTCCAGCTGCCTTCTGCTGCCACACACTCCTGCCATTTCAGAAACTTTTCTTTCAGACCTGCCCGGCTGACCTTGCTACCTGGAATCTTCGTCCGGAACCCCTCCCCAGACCTGTCGAGGAGGTTCGGGTCAAAACTCTCCGAAGCAAACCCATCGTGGAGAACGCTTTCCAGGACCGTTCTCAACCGCTCAATACCGCAAGCCAGGGAACCTCTAGGCAAGTACACTGACGACCCACCACCTTTATCCCCATCCTCCTCCTCTGTATCCTCCCAAAAAGCAACCCCAGAAGCACCACCGGCACCAGCACCGGCATCACCATCGCCGCCACCTCCACCACTCCCGACCTCTCCCCATCTGTCTCCACCGCTCCCTGCCCCCGCATCTGCTGTCTCCACCACTGGTTCCTCTGGGCATTCCACCAGGTAGTGCCTCACACCTGTTGCCAACGCTAGGTTTCTGTACAGCTGCCTTCCCCCGTCCGGATACACTGAATCTGCACCGCTGCTGCTGCTGCTGCTGCTGCTGCTGCTGGTGCGAATTTCGATGACAGAGGAGTGGGAAGGCATGAAGAGGGTGTTTACAAGGGCATTATCGCAGGCGACGAACAGCAGAGCCCGTTGGAACAGCGCTCTGGCTGGGTGCCACGGGGAACAGGGTGGGAGGGGCGGGGGGGGAAGAGGGCATGAAGAGGGCATGAAGAGGGCATGAAGAGGGCATGAAGAGGGTATTTACGAGGGCGTTATCGCACGCAACGAAAACCAGAGCTCGTCGAAACAGCGCCCTGGCTGGGTGGGAGCAGGGGAGGGGCAGCGCGGGGAGCTTGGAACGCAATTCAGATTCGAAACAGTCAGCCGACAAAATTATCGGCTATTCAGCTCAAAAGCAATGATGACAGCACGCCACTCACTTACCTTCTTGGAGCGGCATGTTTCGTCTGTACACGGCGACTCTATCCTCGGTATAGAGCTGCTTCAGTATCCATTTCACCGCACGTAGCGCTGCAGCCAGCGCAACAGCTTGCACTGTGGGCAGACGGGATGGGGGAGCCGCCACCACCACCACCCAATCATGCTTCAAACGCCCATCTATAGACCCCATAAATCCCATAGGGACCACAGGCAGCTCCCCTGCTGCATCGTGTGCTCCTTGTTCTGCCAGACCCCCAGGTGCAGGGGGGCGGTAGGAGCCGTCTTGAGAGAAGAGCGGCAGGCCGGAGGGGGGGAAGAGGTGGCGGGCGCGGAAGGCGTGCAGGAGAGACGGGCTGGGGTGGCCGCATGGGGGAAATAGCGGCTGGTGGAGAAGGCGGTGAAGAGATGAGAGAGGGAAAAATGGGGGAAACGGGGAACGGGGAAGGAGGCTCAAAGTCTTGAAAAACCCCACGCCAGATACACAACCATGCGTGCATACCATGTACAGCATGCGAGCAAAGAGCAGCGAGGAGTGCGACATGGCATGGATGGCAGGAGTGCGACATCTCCTGGGTTCACCCCTCCTGCCTGGGTTCAACCCTCCTGGGTGCACCCCTCCTCCTGGGTGCACCCCTCCTCCTGGGTGCACCCCTCCTCCTGGGTGCACCCCTCCTCCTGGGTGCACCCCTCCTCCTGGGTGCACCCCTCCTCCTGGGTGCACCCCTCCTCCTGGGTGCACCCCTCCTCCTGGGTGCACCCCTCCTGGGTGCACCCCTCCTGGGTTCACCCCTCCTGGGTGCACCCCTCCTGGGTTCACCCCTCCTGGGTTCACCCCTCCTGGGTGCACCCCTCCTGGGTTCACCCCTCCTGGGTTCACCCCTCAGGGATCAGTGAGGTGTGCGCCATGGCATGGATGACATTCGCTGTTTGTGTATTTGCGTGCAGTGCGTGCAGTGCGTGGGCGCACTTACCATGTAGAGGGTGCGAGCAAAGAGCAGAGACGAGTGCGCCATGGCATGGATGGCACTCGCTGAGGGCCTCAACCCCACCACGGCCTGCAGTGTGTGTATGTGGGCGCGCGTGAATGCACTTGCACATGTGTGTGCTTGCAGTGCGTGCAGTGCAGTGCGTGGCCGCACTTACCATGTAGAGTGTGCGAGCGAAGAGCAGTGAGGAGTGCGGCATGGCATGCACGGCACTCGCTGTGGGCCTCAACCCTACCACGGCCTGCCAGATGCCGCGCACCAACTGCCACGTAGGGAGAGGGAGGAAACGGGTGGGAGGGGGAGAGAAGACGCAAGGATGCATTAAAGCGTGTCTGTCTGAGCAGCTTTGGAACACCCTAGCTTATGTGTCTCGCTCTCACAACTTACCTTTCTGTTCTGCACTGCAACTGGTATGTGCCTCAGCAGCAGCATGGCAGGCGCCAGTGACAGGAAGAGAGGAAGCTTCTCCGCCATTTCCGAGAAGACCACATCGGACGGCGAGCGGGCGGCGGAAAGAAGGTTGAGGAGGGAAGGGAAGGCGGCAAACCGGGTGCCTGAGGGGTAGTCGAACTGAGGGAAAAAGGGGGTTGGGGCGAGTTGGGGGTTGGGGGAGTGGGGTGAGGAAAGAAGGGGTGAAGAAGCAGAGAGGGGGTTGAGGAGGAGAGAGGGGGTAGAAGAGTGGGAGAGGAAAGTGGGGGGAGTATGGGATAGAGGGCAGAAGGTGTGGACGCAGAATGGAGAGGGATGAGGAAGGGGGAATGGCGGTGTCAAATAGGCGAGTCACTCACATCAGCCAATCGGTCGCCGCATCTCCCAGCGTCGAATAGATGCGTCTGGTTGAACACCTGACCCCTCCAATTCACAAACAGATGGAGAATGGAGGAAAAGTTGAGTCACTCACATCGGCCAGTTGGTCGCTGCACCTCCCGGCGTCAAACAGATGCGTCTGGTTGAAGACCTGTCCCCTCCAGTTCACGAACACGTTCTGCAGCTGGAAAAGCTGCCCGGACCATTCCTTCAGGTTGCCCGGATCCGGTATTTCCACCTGTAATGACTCTGGCCACTCCGCCTGCTCCTCCAAAAATCTTTTCATTTTCAAGACCGCGTCTGCACACTGTGCTGGGACGACCCTGGTCATCTCAAGCTCATCTGGGATCTCCGGGCAGAATGCAGGGAACTTTTTCTGCTGCCCGTAGGGGGTCTGATCCAATAGGTCAACGAATTCTCTGTTCCAGCATGCCTCAATCTGCCCCAGGGCACCTGAGCAGGGTGAAAAATCCGGGCAGCTCCCTCCTTTACACCCCCCTCCTCTCCCCCGCACATCCCCTCCTCCTGCATAGAAACCCAAGGAAACAACCGAGAGATCTGCACCATTGATTCGCGCTGTCGTGGATTCATCAGCCGCCACGGGCCTCTGTGGGCCGTCGGATTCCCCAGATGCGCCTTCCCAGAGTACCACCTCCGATCCTGATGCTCCCTGAGCGCGACCAGCTCGACCAATCAGCTTCCTCCTGCTGACGCTGCTATCATCGCCTGTCCAATCGCTGCTGCTGCTGGGCCCGATTCTAGTGTCAGCTCTGGCGCTGGCTGGCGAGGAAGCAACGGGCCGCGAATGGACTGACAGGTGGAGAAAGACGAGGAAGAGGAGGATGGATTTATATGGAAAGAGCTGCGTGTAGCCGAACCGGAGTGTCATTTCAGAGCCTAGGGAGCATCAGAAGTCGGTCATTGAGGCGCGGAGCGACATGGGTAGCGAGGGGTAAGAACCTGCTGCACAAGACTCATCCAATCAGACTCATTCAAGAAGTGAGAGTAGGACTAACTTAGGCCAGACCGACCAGACTTCCTTCAGACCGAGGGACGCACGACGCGCAACGTGCTCACAAATTTTGAGTCGCATATCCAAAGAATCGGCTTTCTCAATGTATTGCCAAACGGAGTAGTATTGACTAGTACCGACAGTTCAAACTGTGCACTTTTGTGCAAGAACGGATGGTAAGCCACAACTGGTGAAGTGGGAGTGGAAAACCGCGCTGAGAGATTCGACCTTGCGGAGCAACTGACGGTGGTAGAACAAACCAGCCGAAATGCTGTTACTGGACGACCCAATGCCAGCTTCAGGCAGAACAATGCAGGCAGGAATGCGAGAAAAACACGAATTGACAAGTGGCTGGAGTGGCAGGCAGGTGATGCTGTTTTTGACTGATTCAATCATAACGCTTTCAATATCTGATCTGTGTGCTTCCGTCCGGACCGGATTGAATAGAATTTCCGATAGCGAGGATGTGTGCTCATGTTGTTGCAATACTTGTTCACTTGTTTTATAGTGTAATGATTGGTTATTAGCACAAAACACCCAAACTGCGTTTCCTCAATCGCTGAGCTCGAGGATTTTCGTCGATGCTGTGGGTGCTGGGCGTGAGCGAGGGTATACCACCAGGCACAAGTATCGCCAAACTTTTCCCCGCTTGCATGCTCCCACCCACGCCTTGGGCGAATACGCCCGCAAGCCAGCGAACCAATCAGCTGCTTCTAAAACTTTCGGCATATTCGTCAGCCCCCACCACATGAGCCATGCCTCCGAGAATTACTGTGCATTTCGCCGTTTCGCCAGCTCAAGCACCGTTTGGGCAAATGCGGCGTTCGCTTTGTGCTGACTCCACCCCCAGAACCAGGAACTGATCGACAGGATATTCAGCCACCTCGGGTTCTAATAACGAGACAAGCCTCGCTTTCCGATTCCTATGCCCAACCGTGTTTCCCCTCGATACAAGCTGCCCAGCGCTGAAACTTCTGCGCCAAACTCCCATCTCCCGCCAAAGTGTGTCCCCCCAATCTCCCCCTACTTCCCCCAACCTGCCTGTCCTTTCATTCTGCGAACCTCGGGATTTGCTGGCTCCTTCAAATACCCCAGCCTGTTCATTGATCGTACTTTCAGATCTTTTTTCTGATCCCTTAATCCTAGTTCCTTTTGTCAATCACCATTCCTTTTCTTCATGGTCGCTGGATTTCACACGCGACCTAAGGCGTTGTCAGCTCGGCATCGCGCCGCCTGTCGGTGGTTCGTGGGGAATTCTCGAGTAGATTGATGTCCCAGCAACCGGGTAGGGCCGATAGATCGGATCAGGCGAACCGGAAAGGGAGAGGAGGCGGGACGAGCGGTCCTCGCCAGCAGGGGGTACCGCAGGGAGGAAAGGGGCCCAGCCCCGTAGTTAGCGGTCAGAGCTCAGCTGCCGGCTCATCTGCCGGCTCGGCTGCCGGTCCGGGAGCCGGACGCGGTCAACCGCAAGGAGTGGGACGAGGGTATGTGATCCGATGTTTCTAAGCGCACTGGACTTACGGTTACTGACCATAGAAGCGTGTCATACATAGTTGCACATTGTAGTTAGTAGCATGTGGTAATAAGCAGCTTATACTAGAGAATCGCTTACTGCGGATTAATAGCAGATCGTAGGTATTAGCATATCATTAGTCGCAGCTCGTAGGTTATAGCATATCGTGAGTAGTAGCAGCTTGAGTAATAAACATCTTAAGAGTGGATGACTGTAGATATTAGCTTACTTGCAGCCGTTCGTATGTGGAGCATACATGGAGATGATCTAAGTTTCCCCTTCCGTAAATCTTTCGTTTCAGTTTTCCGCAACAATTAGTTTTGTGATCTGCTCAAGCCAGCTGGTCCGTCTGATCCGTTAGGTTACTTAATCAGCAGCTATAGAGACATCGACGCCGCGGAATCGGACATTCGGGCGTGATCTGGCATTCAGGCCTGAGATAGCGCTGTTCCATAGTTTTGCGGATTGACCCCTTTTGACGCGTGTTTGCGAGATTTTCCGCAGCCAACAGATGGACCGTTTGTTCGTTCCAGTCTCGTTCAAGGCTGCATGCTTTCGGAACCTAGGTCGCCCTGCGACACTCTCGCTTGGCTTTCTCCGTCCATACTTGATCCCAGATATATTTTTTTATATATATATTTTCACAGATTCCCCTCACCGTTATGCGGATCTTATATCTCTTTTCAAATTCCGCCTCCCCCCACTCCAGGTTCCGCCGGACGCCAAATGGCCCCGCGGAAGGCGCATCTAGCGCCGGTGGTGCCGGCAGAGGCGGCATCGGTCGGGGAAGCGGGCAGGGGATGCCAGGAGCGGGAATAGGCGGAGCTGCCGGCGGATCCGGCGGAGGTCCGGGCGGGTATCGTGGAGCAACAGGTGGGCATATTGTGTGGGAGAGGGAGAAAAGATACAGTAGCTGCATGTACTGTAACAAACGTTAGATGCTTACAGATTGTCGTGCCGGAGTTGGTTGGTCACGACAGAAGAAAGCCACTCTCTGAAGCATAAGTACATACATACGCTGGTTTCCAGAAAAAAGGAATTTAACTCAGACAATCGTTATATTCAGCTAGAAGTTTGACTGGTATTCGGTAGTGTTTTCTACTAGTCGTGCGCCTCACCTTGGAGATTCAGCCTTGGTATGCCAAGTTGCCACGATTTCTCATGGGGCGTGATTCATTCGCTAGCTGGGGCGAGGATTATTTCGAGGCAGAATTGGCATGTTTAGCCTGTGTTTTCATGTTCGCCTTTTGTATTGATACCCATTCAACGGACTTTCCTGTTCGATTGCTTTCCTTCGCTGGTGCAGGTCCTCAGTCACAGCAAAGATATGGATCAACAGCAGTCGCGGGAAACGGTCCCACACCAGCAGCAGCGCCTGCGCCTTCCGCGTGGGGTGCGGGCCCTGCGCGCACAAGTGCGCCTACCCCCGCCGCTTCCGGCACCCAGCAGCAGCGGCAGCAGCAGCAACCAGCGGTGCAGCTGTCATCCGGCCCGGGGATTCCAGGTTTTGAGTCTGCGCCTCCCCCTGCGGATTCCGCCTTCCCCGGCCTTTCCCGCTCCACGTCCGCGGGCGGAGCAGCAGCTCGGCCGGGGGCTCCGGGCGTAGCTGGGCCGGGCGCAGGCGCCCCTGCGCCAGTAGTAGGGTCTGGGGGAGCGCCTGGCGCAGGGCCTGCGGGTGTGCCTGCGCCGAGAATATCGTTTGCGGCTGCAGCAGCGGCTGGGGGGATGTCGTACGCGCAAAGAGCGGCGCAGGCGCTGAATCGCGCGGCTGCACCGCCCGCCCAAGCGCAACAGGCGCAGGTACAGGCGCAGCAAGCGCGGGTGGGCGGAAGCGGGGCGCAGCAAGCGACAGGTCAAGCGGGGGAAGCCGCGTCACAGGGGAAGGCGGACGCTGCTAAGCCGCCACAGGGCACGGAAACAGCAGCACAGGCGGGTAGCGCATCTCAAGCAGCTGTGCAGAAGCAGCAGGAACAAACACGCACCCAGCAACAACAGCAGCAGCCGTGGCAGGGTCAGAAGCCTCAAGTCCCAGCAGCAGCAGTTGCTGCAGGCACGGGCAGCAGAACTGCAGTTTCCACACCAACCGCAGCAGCAACTGTAATCCCTACAGCCACAGCAACCGCTACCAAGCCTGTTCCGCCGTCCGCCACAACCGCTACTGTTACTGCTGCAACGGTTGCGGCGGCTTCCGCAGCAGCAGCAGCTGTTTCTGCTGCGTCAGGCGCTTCTGCCCCAGCCCAGTCGTTCGCAGCGGCAGCTGCTGCTGGGGCCGCGGCTGCATCTTCCAAAGTGCCTGCCGCAGCGGCCACCAAACCAGGCCAAACGCCTGTTCCCCAGACCTCCAGCGCAGGCTCGGCAGCAGCACCGGCGGGATCCCTCACAGGGTTCTTGTCAGCTGCGCGCGCAGGGCTAGGGGAGGGCGCAGGCACAGGCGCAGGGGCATCTGGTGGAGCGGGGGCGGACGGGGGTCAGGGAGCAGCGGGCGGGGCGAAGGGTAGCGCGAAGGGGGGGGCGAAACCACCGGTGAAGGCTCCTGGTCCTGCTGCGGCTGTAGCGGGGCCTCCTGCTCTTCCCCCTGGCGTATCGCCTGTAGCTCTGCAGTTCGGCACGTTCAACCCTAATTTCATGGGCGCCAGCGGCCCCGTTATTGTATGCCCCGGTTCCCCTTTCTCTCACCTTCGCCCTGCCCGGGCATTGTATGCCCCGGTTCCCCTTTCTCCCCTCCTCGCTCCTGACCCGTTTGACGTTTTCCTCTTTCGTCCTCTGTCTCTCACCACTTGAGCTGCTTGTCTTCCCGCCTCCGCTGCGATTGCTAAAACTGTCAATGATGCTCAAGGAGCGTTATTCCTCTTGCCTCCTTCTTGCCTACTCCGTGTATTCACCATCTTTGCTGTTCCATCTTCCCGCCTGCTGCTTCCCTGGCTACTGCTGCAGGTCCCCCCTCGCACCACCTCTGCTCCGCCCAATCTGGACGAGCAACAGAAGGAGCAGGTACACCATCAAACCCACTGTGGTTCTCTCTCTGCCCTTGCTCGCAGCCTGACCTTCCCTTCACCACTGTGTTTTTTTTTTTGCGTCACTCTAGCTTTTTCTTCTCTCTTCTCGCATCAAGTTCCTCTTTCTTCCACAGCCTTCTTCGTCACCCGTCGCCCCCACTCTTGTCCCTCGCATTGGTTGTTGTCGTGTTTTTTTTCCCATGTACTCGTTCTTCCTGCCCCTCTGACCCAACAATTATTATCTCCCTGTCTGTCCCATGTCTTTTTCCTGCCCATTAGGCCTGGCACGAGGCCAGCAGTAAGCAGCCAAGTCCGAACCTTCACACACACCCTGATTTTCCCTGCCTACCTGCCTTTCTGCCGCCCCGTGTCTTTCCCGTGTCTTTCTCCTGCTCATTAGGCCCGGCACGAGGCCATGCTTCGCCAGCAGCAAGCAGCCAAGTCCGGAGAAGCAGGGGCAGCTAAAGCCCCTATCGGAGGAAGCATCCCAGAAGAATCTCAACAGGTGCTGCCAGCTCCCGATGCTGCCGCCCCCACTAGTGGCAGCGGCATTACTGCTCCAGTCGCTGCAGGGGCGGGAGGAGCCTCAGGGATAATAGCAGGGGCGCCAGCAGGGGCAGCAGCCGCAGCAGCAGGAGCAGCAGGAGGAGCAGGAACAACAGTTGGGCAGAACGGTGGGGGGGTAGCAGGGGGAGGAGGGGGGGCGGGGAGGGGGATGGGAAGAGGGGGGCAGCAGGTGCATGGAGGGGGGAGAGGGGGCGCGGGGATTTTGTCGTCCGCTGGGGTCAGCGCATGGGGCGCAGGCGCTGCAGGTTCGGGCGCGCCTGGCGCAGGTGCTGCGGGTGCAGCTGGGGTAGGTGCATCTGGCGCAGGTGCAGGTGTGGCATTGGGAAGTGAGGTTGGAGTAGCAGCGGCACGGCCGAACCAACAGCAGCAGCAGCAGCAGCAGCAACAGCAGCAGCAGCAGCAGAGACAACAGCAACAGCAAAGACAGCAGCAGCAACAGCAGCAGCAGCAGCATCAGCAGCAGCACCTGCAGCAGCAGAGATTGCATCAACACCAGCTTCAGCAGCAGCAACAGCAGCAGCAGCCTCGCGGTCAGGGCTTTCAACAACCTCCTTTTCAGCACCAACACATTCCGCTACACCAGCAGCACCCGCACGCACCAGGGCAAGTCCCCATCCCTCTGCAACAGCAACAACAACAGCAGCAACAGCAGCAACAGCAACAACAACAGCAGCAGCAGCAGCAGCAGCCGCACAGACCCCAACACCCGGGGCAGCCATCTCAGCAACCCCCACAGCCCTCCCCTCCTCCGCCGCTCGTTCAACCGCCCTTGCAGCCTCTTCCCGCCCCTCACATACGCCCTCCCCTGATGATGCCTGGCGGCCAACCTCAACTACAACCGGGCCAGCTACAACCGGGTCAGCTGCAGCCTCAGCTGCAGGGTCCGCTACAGCAGGGCCCGCTACAGCCAGGCTCGCTACAGGCTCAGATACAGAACCAGCTACAGCAGCTGCCGCCCCACTTGCATGCTGCCATGGCGCTACAGCAACACGGGCACGGCCTTCCGCCGCACATGCAGCATCCCGGGTTACACCAGCCAGGATTGTCTCCTCAACCGGGGATGGGGATGGGTCAGCAGCAGCAGCAGCAGCAGCAGGCGCAGCAGCAACAACAGCAGCACCAACAACAGATGCAGCTGCAGCAGCAGCTGCAGTCACAACAACAACAGCAGCAGCAGCAGCAGCAGCAGCAACAACAACAGCAGCAACAGCAGCAACAACAGCAACAGCAGCAGCAACAACAACAGCAGCAGCAGCAGTTGCAGCAGCAGCAAGGTCAGGGACCTCACCCTTCCCCTCCCCCTCCCCAGCAACAACTCCAACAGCAGCAGCAGCAGATGCAACAGCAGCAGCCACCCCATATGCTGCAGCACCAGGCGCAGCAACACATCATGGTGGCTTACCAGCAGCACGGCCCGTCTGGCATGACCATTCAGTACGGCACTGTTCCAGCAGGACCCCAGTATCCAGGCATGCAAAACCCAAAGCCCTCTGCGCTGCTACAGCCGCGGGCAAGCCGGGCACTTAAAATTATGGATCCGACCACTCAGAAAGAGGTGAAGGTGGAAAAGGTGCCCGCGACTAAAGCCAAGCCCGGGGCAGGAGCAGCAGGGGCAGGAGCAGCAGGAACAGGAACGGGAGCAGCAGGAGGAGCAGGAGGAGGGGCGAGGGGAGGGACGGGCGCAGGGGCAGGGGCAGCAGGAGGAGCAGGGGAGGGCGCAGGTGCGGGGGCAGGGGGAGCAGCAGGAGGGGCAGCAGGGGGAGCAACAGTGGGGGCAGCGGGGAGAGGTCCATCAAGCGCCACTACCTCCCCTGCTCCTCACGGGCTTAGCTCAACCCCTGCAGGCCTGACCTTCGAAATTCCAGCCCAACCACCCACTCCAGGTTCTGCCCCCACCACCCCTCACGGCGGACTAGTCTCCCCAGCTGGTGCTGGGGCGGCAGCAGCAGGGGTGGCCGGCCGGGGGATGCCTATTGGGGTGGCGGCGGCAGCTGCAGGCGCGCGCCCCCCCATGGGGTTCGCGCAGCCCGGGCACATGCTTCCATCCATGTACTATCCGGGGATGCCTGGTGTGGGGGGAGTGCCAGGGGTGCCGGGGGTGGCAGGTGTTCCCCCCGGTGCCTTCCCCCAGGCGCGATTCTTTCCCCCACAGCAGCCTGGGCCTATGCCAGCAGGCGGGGGGATGGTCGGGGGGCCGGGAGGGGGGATGGGCGGACCAGGGGCAGGCGGGCAGGGTAGGTTTACCCCCCCGTATCCGCAGCAGGCGGGGCATGGCGGGGGGGTGAGGCCGCATATGGGACACGTTTTGCCACACCAGCAGATGCCAGGGGGCGGGCCGGCTGGTATGGTGCACTATGCCACTGGTGCCGTTCCTGGCGCCGTGCCTGGTGGTTCAGGTTCGGGAGCGGGTGGTCCGGGCGCTGGCGGGGCTGGTTCGGGGGCAGGAGAGGAAATGCCCATGCCTGGGATGGATGGTATGGGGAACATGCCTGTGTCGTCGCCGGTAGGTCCAGGGCCAGGTATGGTGATCCCGAACCTGCCGATGATGGGTCCTGTAGGTTCGGGAGGGCCGGGTGTGGGGGGGTATATGATGGGCGCAGGGACAGGGTTTGTGATTCCAGGGCATGGGCGGGGAGTTGGGGGAGGAGGGGGAATGGGGGGAGGGGGAAGGGCAGGGGGGATGCACGGGAGGGGGGCAGGGGGACCAGGTGGGGTAGGGGGCACAGGTCCTGGGGCGGGTAGGGGAAGCGGGGTAAGTGCACAGGTCATGTCTTCGAATCGAATCGTAGTGTCGACAACAGGAGGGGTTACCAATTTGCCATCGCCAGGTTCGGGAGCGCGAGACAGGCCTGGGGCAGGTCCGGATGGGCTGAAGAGGTCCGGGAGCGGTAAGACAACATGGCCAGTGGTTAGGAGCCCCTCTGGTGGTGCTTCGGGGCAGCAGGGGAAGGAGGAGAAGGGAGAGAAGGAAGGGGAGGAGGGTGTGGGTGGGGCTGTGGTGGAAAAGAAAGAGGAGGGTGAGAAGGGCGAGGAGAATCGGGCGAAGGGGAGTGATGCGGCTGTGGCAAATGGAGAACAGAATGTAGCAGGGAAGAGTGAAGAGGTTCAGGCGAAGAGCAAAGAGGAGGTGGCAGCGAAGGTCACAGGCGAGCCAGTTGCAGCAGAGGGGGGTGTGGGGAAAGAGGCTGCAGGGAAGGAGGGTGAAGTGAAGGTGGTAGAAGGGAGGGATGGGAAGGACGGTGGTGATGCAAAGGCGAAGGTTTCAAGCGAGGAGGAAGAGAAAAAGGCAGGCGGGGAGGCGACTGGTGCTGAGGCACCTGCTGCTGCTCCTGCTGCTGCTTCAGCTGCAGCGGTTGCTCCTGTGGTGGCGAAACCAGTGGAGGAGAGTAAGGAAGGAGAGGGGTTAAGTGGGGAGGCGGGCGCCGCAAAGGAGAAAGGAGAGGAGAAGAAGGGTGGGAAGAAGAAAGACAAGAAGGAGAAGAAGAAGAAAGGAATTGAGAAGGGAGAGGAGAAGGATGCAGGCAAGAAAGAGGCGGGAGAAGCAGTGCCGGAGCCTGAGGGGGAGAAGGCTAAAGGAGAGGAGAAGGAGGTTCAAATGCCCTCCACATCTCAAGTTACGACAGTTGCTGCTGTTGTTGCGACAGCTGCCGCAGCTGTTGCCGCTACAGCCGTGGCTGCTGCAGTCGGTACAGCTGCTGCTACTGCTGAGGGCAAGAACGAGGCTGCCGAAAACGCGGGTGCTGAAGGGAGTGCTGCTGTTACGACCGAAACCCTTCAGGCAGCTGAGGGGAAAGAGGGGGCTAAGGAGTCGGAGGCGACTGGTGAAATAGTTAAGGAGGGGGATAAGAAGGAGGGGGAAGCAGAAGTGGATGAGAAGGGTAAGGAGGAGGAGGGGGAGAAAGTGGAGGGGAAGACGAAAGAGAAGAAGGTGGAGGAAAGTGCTGAGGTTGCTCCTGCTAAAGCAGAAGAGAGCAAGGAGGCGAAAGAGGAGAAGGAGAAGGAGGAGGAGAAGAAGGAGGGTAAGGTTGAAGAGTCTGATGTTAAGGGTGGGATTGAGAAGGGAGGGGAAAAGGCCAAGTCAGCTGCTGCTGCTGCTGCTGCGGCAGCAGCAGCAGCTGCCACTGCTGCTGCAGGCACAGCCGTGGCTGCTGCTACAGCCGCTGCTGCCACAGCTGTGGTTGCTCCTGCCAAGAAGAAAAAGCTGAAGCAAGTTTTGGCAGAGAAAGAAGCTGCTGAGTCTGAAATGCTGAGTCTGAAGCAAGCTCCTGACCTCTATAACGCGTACACGACTAATGCTGCCAAGGGCAAGGAGGCAGAAGGGAAGAAGGCAGAGGGGAAGGTGCAAGAGCAACCAGGGTCTGTGGCTGGTGAGGTGACTGTGGAAGAAAAGGCGGGCGAGGCTGCTAAGGTAGCAGAGCAAGAGGAGGAAAAGAGAGAAGAGGAAGTGGATGATTGGGAGGAAGCAGTGGATACAGATGCTGCTGGGAAGGGCCGTGCTGGGAAGGCGGGAGGAGGAGAGACAGGGGCTGCGGGTGCCACCCCTGCTGCTGCCGCTGCCGCTGCAGCAGCAGCTGCTGCAGTAGCTGCTGCCACTGCAGCAATCGGAGCAGCAGGTAAAGGTCCAGGAGCAACAGCAGCAGCAGGCGCAGCAGCAGGTGCAGCAGTAGGCACACCAGCAGGCACAGCGGTGGCAGCTGCGGCACAGAAAGGAGCGAAGGGCGCAGAGGCTGCTGCAACCAACGCGGATGGCTCGTTCAAGTATTCTCGAGACTTCCTCCTCACACTTAGAGACTCTCACAGGGACCTCCCAGGCGACATGGACTTCCGCTCCTTCCTACGCGAGTGTAACGCCGTGCTGAAACCGCCTGCTGCACAAAGAGTACAGCAGATGGCGGCTCAGGGGTTCAATCGCCCTATGGACGCCCTATCGGGTGCACCTGGGGGAGGTTTGAACCGGCCAGGTATGGACGAGGACCGCTGGGCGAGAGGGCCAGGAATGGGCCCGAGAGGTCCGGGCGGAGGTATGGACGGAGGGGTGCTGGGCCCGCCTGGAGGTCCGGGGTTCAGAGGTCCGGGAGGCGGGTCGCCTATGGGTATGGGAGGCCCGGGGATGCGGGGAGGAATGGGGGGACCAGGGGGGCCGTTGCTGGGGAGGGGGGATAGGGGGGTGTTGCCTCATGGTGCGCCTGGGATGGGGGGACCTGGGGGGATGCCTATGGGTGGTCCGAGGGGAGGCGTGGATGCAGATAGATGGCAGAGAAACCCGATGCAGAACCGACCTGCTGCACCTGCGGGACCCCCGCTGCCTGCGATTCACAAGACGGAGAATCGGTACAAGGCAGGGATGGTGTCGGATGAAGAGGAAAAGAAGCAGCGGCAGATCAAGGGGATTCTGAACAAGCTGACGCCTCAGAATTTCGATAAGTTGTTCAATCAGGTGAAGGAAGTGCAGATTGACTCTCCTGAGACGCTCACAGGGGTGATTGGGCAGATTTTCGACAAGGCGTTGTTAGAGCCCACGTTTTGTGAGCTGTATGCGAAGTTCTGCCAGGCGTTGTCTGTTGAGTTGCCTCAGTTTGGGGAGGGGAATGACCGGGTGACGTTTAAGCGCACGCTTTTAAATAAGTGCCAGGAGGAGTTTGAGCGAGGGGATCAGGAGCAGCTGGATGCTGAGAAGGAGGAGGAGGAGGTGGAGGTGGAGGAGGAGGAGGAAGGGGAGGGGAAGAAAGGGGAAGGGGAGGGGAAAGATGGGGCGGACGGGAAGGCGGAAGAGAAGAAGGAAGGGGGGGAGGAAGGGAAGAAGGAAGTGGAGGAGGGTGGGAAGGACGAGAAGAAGGAAGGGGCCAAGGGAGCGAAGGTTATGGTAAAGAAGATGGTGAAATTGACTGAGGCGGAGAGGCAGAGCAGAAGGCAGAAGGCTCGGAGGCGCATGCTGGGGAATATCCGCTTTATAGGAGAGCTCTATAAGATGAGCATGCTCACGGAGCGCATCATGCACGGATGCATCCAGAAGCTTCTAGGAAACACTGAGGTGGGTCCTTTGATACTGTTGATACTGATTCCAGTGTGGGTTAGTTCGTCACAGCACAACTCCTTTCCACCACTAATTATTCTGTGTTAGAGTGTCGTGTCGGGCATTGTGTGCTAGTCGGGCATTGTGTGCTTTTCTTTCCCAGGATCCGGACGAGGAGGACATGGAAGCGCTCTGCAAGCTACTAGCCACCATCGGGCACATCATGGACCCCTGCTCCCCTGCACGCTCCCGCCTGCTCCCCACTGCTGCCCCTGCTCTTCACCCCTTCAGGACCTTAGAGAAGGACATGGAAACTCTCTGCAAGCTACTAGCCACCATCGGGCACATCATGGACCCCTGCTCCCCTGCACGCTCCCCCCCGCTCTTCACCCCTTCAGGATCCGGACGAGGAGGACATGGAAACCCTCCGCAAGCTTCTGGCCACCATCGGGCAAATCATCGACCACGAGAAAGCTCAGAGCCACATGGAGGCATACATGGCCCACATAGCCCACTTCTCCACCTACCAGAAGCTCCCCTGCATGCTCCCCCCTGCTGCCCCCGCCCTTCGCCCTCCCAGGACCCGGACGAGGAGGACATGGAGGCCTTGTGCAAGCTGCTCGCGACCATCGGGCAAATCATCGACCACGAGAAGGCACAGAGCCACATGGAAGCATACATGGCGCGCATAGCCCACTTCTCTACCTACCAGAAACTCTCCTCCCGCATCCGCTTCGGCCTGCAAGACATTCTCGAGCTCCGGGAGAACAAGTGGCAGGCCAGGCGGAAGGTCGAGGGGCCCAAGAAGATCGACCAGGTGCATAGGGACGCGCGGGACGAGCGGTCCAATGCCGTCGCGACAGCTGGCAGGCAGATATTGGAGCGCGGGGGCGGCGGGAGCAGGGGCCCGGGTGGTGGTATGGGGAGCGGGCGGCGGCCGGAGTATGGCATGGAGCCGCCCGGGCGGCCGGGTTTGGCTGGGTCTGGGCCGATGAGGGGCGGCCCGGGGCTGATTGGAGGGCAAGGGGGGCCGGGGGGAGGGATGTATGGGCGGGGGCCGGGGTATGGGCACCCTGGGGGGATGGGGGGAAGAGGGGGAGGCCCTGGCGGGTATGAGGGGAGAGGGGGAATGGAGGATATGGGTCGCCCCATGCCCCTCCCCCAGAGGAACATGGAGGAGGGGGAATTGAAGCTGGGGCCGCATGGGGGGCTGGGGAGACCTGGGGGAGGGGGCCCAGGGGGAGGCATGGGCGGGGGGATGAGGGGGGGACCTGGGGGACCTATGGGGGGACCCATGGGGGGGCTTATGGGGGGCCCAGGGCGGGGGGGACCTGAAGGTCCCCCTGGCGCCATGCCTCCGGAGATGCGCAGGTTCGGGCCGAGCCAGAGCGAGAGGTTCGGGCCGAGGGTGGGGGAGATGGGGGGCCCGAGGGGCGGGGGGGATAGAGATGCGCCGATGAGGCCTGGCCCTGGCGGGTATGGGGAGAGAGGGGGGGAGAGAGAAGGGGGGCGGGGGCTAGTAGGCCCTGGGTCTAGGAGTATGATGATGGGGAGGGGACCTGGGCCTGAGGGGAGGGGGTATGGTGGGCGGGGGATGGGGATGGAGCGGGAGAGGGAGAGGGAGGTGGATGCATGGAGAAGAGGCACGAGAATTGATGAGGAGCCGCAAGCAGGTGGAGGCAGGGAGGGAGGGAGGGATGGGTGGAGGGAAGCGGGGAGAGGAGATGGAGGGAGAGGGGACGTGGGGAGAGGGGGAGGGCCGGGAGTGGGGCCAGGGGCAAGAGAGGGAGCAGGAGGAGCAGGAGGGGCAGCAGGAGCAAGAGGAGCAGGGGCAGCAGCAGAGACGGGAGGAGGAGCGGGAGCAGCAGGGGGGGCGGGAGGGGGAGCAGGAGGGGCGAAGGCGGGGGCAGGGATGGATGAGGAGGGTGCTGTGGCGAAGGCGAACAGTGCTGTGGAAGAATTCCTCAGGTGAGAAATGTTTTTCCAGGCAGTATTGAGAATTTTATCACATAATGGCAGACTCAAAGTCATCTTGGATGAGGAGGGTGCTGTGGCGAAGTCGAACAGTGCAGTGGAAGAATTCCTCAGGTGAGAAGTCACTTCTCCAATCGGGAAAGGGAAATTGGCCACGTAATGGCAGACTTAGAAGTCACCTTGGGTGGGGAGAAGGCCGTTGTGCATTGAGCAGCTGCAGGCGCCGCAGCATCAACAGCCCCTTTTCCTCGTCACGCCTTCTGATTAGGGCCCCTCGTTTCCTCCTCCTCCGTTTCTCGTTCCTCTCACAGTGCACGTGATTTCAAGGAGGTGATTGTGTGCACCTTGGGTGGGGAGAAGACCGTTGGTGCATCGAGCAGCTGCAAGCGCCGCAGCAACAACGGCTCCCTCACACCTTCTAATCACTGCCTTTTCTCCCTCTTCTCCTTTCCTCTCCCCTCCTTTTTATCTGTTTTCCCACAGTGCCCGTGACTTCAAGGAAGTATGCCTGTGCATTGAGGAGCTACAGACGCCGCAGCATGAGCAACACTATCAGAGTGTTCAATCGCTGCTGTTTCTGCCTTTGTTTCCCCCTTGTCATTTCTCCCCCCCTTCACAGTGCCCGCGACTTCAAGGAAGTCTGCCTGTGCATTGAGGAGCTGCAATCCCCGCAGCATCACGGGGCGGTAGTGGCGGGGTGGGTGGCGGCAGGGCCCTCGCACCTTCTAATCACTGCCCTCGTCTCTCACCTCTTCCTTCCCGTCCCCTCTCAGTGCCCGTGACTTCAAGGAAGTCTGCCTGTGCATTGAGGAACTACAGTCGCCGCAGCATCACGGGGCGATAGTGGCGGGGTGGGTGGCGGCAGGGCTAGACAAGAAGGAGGCGCAGAGGCAGCAGGTGGAGGATCTGGTGGTGCGGCTGTGCTGCGAGCCCAAACCCTCGCTCTTCACGAGTGACCAGATTCAGCAAGGGTAGGTGACCCTCTGGCACACACATGGCAGGTCAGGTGGGGCAGGGGGAACAAGGGTAGGGGTGGCGGCAGGGCTGGACGAGAAGGAGGCGCAGAGGCAGCAGGTGGAGGATCTGGTGGTGCGGCTGTGCTGCGAGCCCAAGCCGCCGCTCTTCACGAGTGACCAGATTCAGCAAGGGTAGGTGCATGGAAAGGGAGATGGGGCCTATGGTTGAAGTTTCAGGGTTCAGGGTATGGGCTTTAAGAGGAGGAGGCGCAGAGGCAGCAGGTGGAGGATCTGGTGGTGCGGCTGTGTTGCAAGCCCAAGCCGCCGCTCTTCACGAGTGACCAGATTCAACAAGGGTAGGTGCATAGAAAGGGGAGGTGGGGCTCAGGGTGCAGGGTGCATGGTTGAGGGTTCGGGGTTTAGGAGGAGGTGCGTGCCCCTGTTGAATTGATTTTTGAATCGACTCACTATTTTGAGTCGACTCAAGAATAGTCGACTCAAAAACAGGGTTGAGGGTTTGGGGTTTAACAGGAGGTGCGTGCCTCTGTTGATTTCTTCTCTCTTCCTCCCTCTCTCTTTTCCCTCTTTCCCTCCCCCCTTACATTCTCGTTCATTGCCCCTGTCGACTCTGCTCCCTTCTATCGCACATCCCACTCACGTTATGCCCCCTTTCCCCCTTCCCGCCCACCCATACCCATCTTCCCTTTCTTCCTCCTCCTCCCCCCCCCCCCCCCTTTTCCCTCTTGCCAGTCTGGTGAGAGTCTTCCAGGAGCTCGAGGATTGGTCAGTTGATGCCCCCAAGGCCCCGCAACACGTGGGCCGTCTGATTGGCCGGCTCGTGGCAGCTGGCGCCGTCCCATTGGCCGACGTGGCCCGGCTGGTGAAATCAGGCGGTGCAGAGGAAGGGAGTCTGGTGGAGATGGGTGAGGGGATGAAGGTGATGGCAGCGGTGGTGGGCGCGGTGAGGGGGGAGAAGGGGGAGAAGGAGGCGGGGGAGATGGTGCGGGCGGCGGGGATAGAGGGACCAGAGGAATTTATGGAGGAGAGAGCGAGAGGGAGGAAGGAGAAGGTGGAGGAGGCGAGGAAGGCCCTTGGGCTGGCAGGTGCCACAGATCCAGTGAGTGGTGTGAGTGCTGTAGATGCAGGGAGTGGTGTGTGCTGCGAGTGTTACACAAGTGATGAGGGGAGAACATTCCTGGCCCCTCCCCCCCCTCCGCCCCTTATCTTCCCCCGCCCCTCTCTCTCTCCCTCATTTTTTTGTCTGAGCACATTCCTGAACAACACTTGTGTTACATGGATGCACATTCCTGACCTCTCTCCCCTCTCCGTTGTCCCTCCTCCTCTCTCTCATTCCTCTCAGCTGGAAGCAGTGGCAGAGCACCTGAAAGACGCTTTTGCCAAGGGGGAATCAGCAGAGGCTGTGCTTAAATGGCTGCAGGTGAGATCTCAGGTGCCTTCAGGTGAGATCTCAGGTGCCTTCAGGTGGAGTTTCAGATGAGACTGGTTTCAGCTGGGTGATGTAGGTGTGGCCGGGAGAAGTAGCCACTCCATCTGTCGCAAGAGCATGCAACGTACCCCCATTCAACAGCATCTCTCTCCTGTATGCCTTCTTGGTTTCGACTTTCAACAACATCAGCCTGCCTCTTTGCCTCCTTCCCTTCCCTGTGACTGCTGCAGGCCAACACTCCACCTGACACCCCAACGCAGCCGGCTTTCCTGCGCCTGCTCATGCGCTCGCTGCTGCAGCAGTGCATCGGTGATAGCAGACAAGACTTCAAGGTATGGACCTGACTGACTGTTTGACTGTCTGGCTGACTTCTTGTTGAGTTTGAGTTGAGTCAAAGGCCATGCCGCGCGCTAGCTGCTGCAGCAGTGCATCGGCGCTAGCAGACATGAATACAAGGGATTGACCTGACTGGCTGACTGGCTGGTTGCTGACTGACCGACCGACCGACCAACTGACCTGCCAACCGAATGAGCGACTGTCTGTCTACCTTCACTTCGTCCCAAGTGACTGAGTGACTGTCAGGCGGGTGATTCTTTTGTTCAGTCCGTTCCCTCCATCCATTTTCTGTGCATCCCTACCTGCTAGTGTCTTCGCTGCTGCAGCTCTTCCGTCTTTGTTTCTAATGGGCAATCTTCTCAACAATGTCTTTCCTTTCTTGCTGATGATTGGCTTGTTGCTGCTGGCGATTGGCGTGTGACTGAAAGCAGAAGCTACTGGCAGGGCCAGTGAAGAAGTATGCCAAGGTCTTCCAGGAGTATGCAGCAAAGAAGCAAAAACCCAACCAGGTTCAATGTGAGTGCTTCTTTCCCATTCGCTTCTCCGTTCCACCACTTCCGTTCCCGATTCTGCTAGGACCTTCTTTTTTCCAGTTTCTTCTCTATTCTTTCCCATAAGTGACTTCAATCTTCTGGAAGCTGCTTCTTTCCTGGCGACTCTCCCAGAAGCTGCTTCTTTGTTTTTACAACTTATAATTGCACCTTTTATTTTTATTGCACCCCCGCCTTCAGATCTTTTCGGAGCTCAAGAATTCGCAGAGTCGTGTGGGCACCCAGCGGGCCTGCTAGACGCGGTCTTCAGAACACTCTACGACCTCGATGTGAGTCTCGTTCCTTGCACACTGTTGCACTGTTCCTTTTGAGGCGCCTCAAAACTAGACGCGGTCTTCAGAACACTCTACGACCTCGATGTGAGTCTCGCTCTTTGCACACTGTTCCGGCACTCGCTCATTCTCTCTGTCCTGCTTCCATGCACCTGATGGTCCGCATGCTTCTACAACCAGCACGTGTTCTGAGTCGACTCATAACACGACTTTGTTCCGGCACTTGTTCATTCTTATGTTTTGCTTCCATGCACCTGATAATCCTCATGCCCCTACAACCAGCACATAGCCATTTCTTTCCCCCTCCCATCCCACTTCTGTTGCTCCCATTATTCCATGTGTTCATGGGATTGAGTAGTAGAGCAGCTTAGGGAAGACAATTTTCTTGTACTCTCTTCTCCCCCCGGCCCTCCTCCCCCCTCCCTCCTTCCCCCTTTATTTTACCAATTCTGTCTTCTCTGTCTGGGCGCATTTGGCGGAGGAGCTCATTCCCCTAGAACCCTAAAAATACTACAAGCTCCCTAGATTTTAGCGTCTCAAAATCTCCTTTTCTGCGCCTTTGATCAATCCCCTCATCTTGTCCCTTATGGGAGCAGGTGGTGGAGGAGTTGATGCTGTTTAGGTGGCAAGACGACAACAAGGACCCAACGCCTGGCAAGCAAAAGGTGCGTGCCATAGCTTCTGCAGAAGCAAGGATTGCCGTTTGGTTATTGTCAAGAAAGAGGGCTTTGTGCTTGATCGCTGGCATCACCTATTGTCGCTTTCTCTTTTGCATTTGTTGATTTATTTTCTCTATCTGCAGGCATATTTGGACGTGCGCCATTTTCTTAATTGGCTAAGTACGGCACAGGAGGAAGGCACAGAGGAAAACGGCGGTGATGAAAATGCTTGACTTCAGTATTCTACACCTGATGGAAAACTCAAAAAGTGCAGATCCATGGCTTTAGAAGGCCATAGATATCATTGAGAAGGCAAATGCCTACCACAATTCTGGTCACATTGTTGTTTGTATTCTTACTTCCTCAAATCCTCTGTTGCCTACACCGCAATACGCTACAATTTCGAATTTGCCTTCACTAGCGGAGATCTCAATGCTGAAGTTGTGCGACTGTTTTGGACGCGCCATCCACCCTTGATTATCGCCAGCTTGTTCAACACTGGTGCACATTCACTCGTGCGATGTTGATGTCCATGAACATGTCGCATGCGTCGTCACGCGCACGCTGCGACATGCTCGCAATATCGCCAAGTTTTCCATGTGACGCGAAACGCCCGTCACGATGGATTAGATCTTTCGCAACGTCGCCTCTCAGTCGTGCAAGGCACTTCTCAACCACCCAAGCGTACGTGTCTCCCAACTTCCGCCTCGTCTCCGACTCGGAGGTTGGCAAGAAGGCGGCTCCTTCAAATTGTGCGCAAGTTTTTTCCGCCTGCCACCAGCCTCTTTGGCAGCTTGCGCCAAAGTTGCGCGCGCAACGCCTGCGCTCGCGCCAATCTGGCTGCGCCCCCGCCCCTGGTCCTTCTCCAGGTGAATCGGTTTCGTTCTGAAGCTTTCCACGTGGCCCTGGTTTTCCCTGTTTCTGCCGCGGGGCCCTTGAAACTGCCGATTTGCGGAGAGATGGGCGGAAAGGCAGGCGCGACATTATCCAGGTTTCTGTAGGCACCAGACAGGCACTGTTGTACACTAGGAAAGGCTTTTTGGTGTGTTGACACTTGGCCGAACCGAACCAAAGAGCAGTCATGTTAGGGCGTATCTTTGGTTCGGGTCATGCACTGTTCGGGTCATCCGAGATTCTTGGAAGACCAATCAGGCGCGTTTTAGTGAAAATACTCGAATACCATTGGTCCTCCCATGACCCAAAGTGTACTGATGACCCAAAGTGGCCTTATGACCCGAACCAAAGATACGCCCTTAGTCCCGTGATCAGTCAGTCAGTGAGCAGCAAGCAAGTACAGTGCAGGAGGCTTGCTATTGCAATGGTGCGGTGCTCATTTTGAGACAGCAGCAGCAACCTGCAAAACAACACGCAACTAGCACCCCTTGGCTAACCCTAAAGTTCACTCCCGTCGCTGTGAAGCTATTTTTCCCAGCCTTGTTCGCTCGAGAGCGTTAGTGTAGCTATTCGCGTGACAGTAGCGGCGGAGCTGTGGCGGCTGTCGTCTATTGCGCGATTTAAAAATCCAGGTTATCTTGATGTTACCGTAACTGGCGGGGAGTAAGTCGTGCTGTTCGTGGTAATCAGAAATCAAGTGCTTTTTTAGAATGGAGCGGCTATTATGTAGACCCTGTCTACGTTCGCGGGGTGAATGTAGATGACGTGACGTACATCGATACTTCTTAAATTCGTTTTCTTTGTAGCGACGCACTTTTCAGCTAGACACGTTTGGAGCCGCGCAGAGACGTGATAGAGGCATTCCCGACACGTCCGGAAGAATTGCGTTCCGTTCTTTCTGGCATCCTCGCCGTTCTTTCGACATAGCTAGGCAGCTCTCGCGATGCTTTCGTCTGCTCTCCCCCCGTGTGACCGTTGGCTACAGACATAACATCGGGGATCGCCAAGCGGAAGTAGGGAGGGTTACCAGCTTTCGCCATGAACAGGTGCGATCGTCGTCGGGAACCGTCGCAACGGGTACCAGCTGTCAGGTGCAGCACAGAACGTGGCGTCACAGCGACCTTTGCAGTGACAGCATTTTAAAAGGAGCAGGTCGCTTTTTCTGGAAACATTTCATGTGTGGTCCATTAGGTCGTTCCGACGTGTCGAGCTCTTGAGACCCCTCACAAATGTTCGTTGTTAACAGTCCATGTCGGACCTGATCTCCGGGGCTTTCATTGAGGTGTCTTTCCATCACCCGTTTGATTCTGGAGACGATGGTTCTCCGAGTTGGCTTGAAGTTTTATTAGAGCTGTTTAGGCGCCTTATTGATGGGCTAAACGGTTTCAGTCATAGGTCCTTCCAGCACCCCTTCCATTCCAGACGCGACGACCCTTCGAATCGAGTTGATCTTATTGGGGGTGTATGCTGGTTAAGGCTCGTAACTCAACCAGACGCGACGACCCTTTTGAGGCGCTTAAAAAATCTATTTATGACTCGCTGTAGGGGTGCGTGCCAGTACACGGCATTGAATACGATTTTGGAGTTGACTCAAACGTTCCTGCTTTGACTCCGACTCTTCCCTGTGGGTGTCATGCGTGCAGGTACAAGGTGATCAAGCAGATGGGCGATGGCACATACGGCACCGTTTGGAAGGCCATGAACCTCCACACCAATGAAATTGTGAGAACAACCATTTGACGATTTTCCTGTGACCCTTCTAGATTGTGTCGCCGGTACTACGCCGTGTTTTCTGCTGTCTTCTGCGGGTGCATCTCGCCGTGCGTTGCGCCGCGTATTACGCCGTGTGTCACAGTCTCAGTGCCCCCTCTTCCTCTCCCCTCCGTTCCTCTCCGTCCGCTCCCCCTTTCCTCCATTCGCCCCCTCCCCCCCCCCCCCTCCTCTCTTCCCCTCCCTCGCCCCCGACCCCCGCCGCCTCCCCCTCTTCCTCTTTTCCGCAGGTGGCGGTGAAAAAGATGAAGCGGAAATTTTACTCGTGGGAGGAGTGTATGAGTTTGAGAGAAGTCAAGGTAAGCGCTTCAAAAAGCTGCAAGCCTCCTTAAGAATCCGAGGCGATAGCTGAATTGGACCGCGCGAGCAGAGCGCTGGAGCGAGCTGAAGTGACTCTAAGTTTCCGATATGCCTTTTGAGTGCACTCAAAAGTCATATTGGGTGATACAAGTTTCCATTTTTGTACGTTTTGCCCCCGTTTTCTGTTCTGCCTGCCTCTGTTCGCCACATTTACGTCCCCAACCTTCGCTGATCGGTTGCTGTGCAAGCAAAACCGGGACCCCCCTCCCCTCTTACGTCATCTCTGATTCTTTTCCTCACCCTCCGCCAGTTGCTGCGCAAGCGGAACCACATTCTTCTCTCCCCCTCCACCCGCCCTTCCCCTGGTCCTGTCCCGCGCCCCCCGCTTCACTCACGTTACCCGCCTCCCCCTCAGCATTCAGCAGTTGCTGCACAAGCTGAACCACATTCCCCCCTCCTTTCCCCTGCCCTCCCACCACATCACCCCCCCTCCTCATCGTGCGCCAGTCACTGCGCAAGCTGAACACACATTCACCCTCATCTCCTCCCGTTCCCCTCCCGTTCCCCCCCTCCCATCCCATCGCCCCCCCTCCTCACCGTGCGCCAGTCGCTGTGCAAGCTGAACCACAGCAACATCGTGCGGCTGAAGACGGTGTTCGGGGAGAACAACGAAGCCCCCACATCAGTCACGTTCCTCTCCCCCTCTTCTCCCCTCCCCTCCCCCTCATGCACCAGTCGCTGCGCAAGCTGAACCACAGCAACATCGTGCGGCTGAAGGAGGTGATCCGCGAGAACAACGAGCTCTTTTTCATCTTTGAATACATGGTGAGGCTCTTAAGGCGCCTAACCGAGCTGAGCTGACTTCTTCTTTTGAGTGACTCATGAGTCGACTCGAAAGCCACATAGGAAAACAACGAGCTATTCTTCATCTTCGAATACATGGTGAGGCTCTTGAGAGTTTGGGACAGGAGCGACGAGATTTGCTTGTTTTCTAATGCATGGTGGGTGGGATCAGTTGGCCTGCCGTGGTGACACTTGTTCGCCTGCCACTTTCCCCCCCCTGGCCCCAGCTGTCTTTCTCACAGACAGCAGTCTGTGATTAAGAGGAATGGCCGTGTATTGATTTTTCCCCCTCCCGTTCTCCCGCCCTGCCCCCAAACCTCCTCTCTCGCAGGACTGCAATCTTTACCAAGTCATGAAGGACAGAGAGACGCTTTTTCCCGAGTCGAAAATACGCAGCTGGATGTACCAGGTACGAGAACCCTCCCACTAGCGAGGCGACTTTTGAGTTGCAAGGGCTAGCGTACATGCACAAGCACGGGTACTTCCACCGCGACTTAAAACACGAGAACCTGCTCGTGACCCTCCCTCACCCCTCGCCTTCCCCATTCTCCTCCCGCCCCCTCCTCTCCAGGTGCTGCAAGGGCTAGCCTACATGCACAAGCACGGGTACTTCCACCGGGACTTAAAGCCCGAGAACCTGCTGGTGACTAAGGACGTGATCAAGGTGGCCGACTTTGGGCTCGCCCGGGAGGTGCGGTCGCGGCCGCCCTTCACAGACTATGTCTCCACTCGATGGTAAGCTGGAGGGGAGAACGGAGCCCATGTTGTAGAGATTTGGATGTATCTTGAACGGACTAATAAGTAAGAGGTGAAGTCACGACCCCGCCCTTCACAGACTGCGCTCTCATGCGACGGTATGCTCCACACTCGAGGAAGTGCTGCTGTGCCCCATCCGTGTCTGCTCTCCCCTCCTCTCCCTCCTCTCCCTCCCTCTCTCCTCCTCCCCCTCATCTCCCCTCCTATCCCCTCCTCTCCCTTCCTCTCCCCTTCTCTCCCCTCCTCTCGTCTCCCCTCCTCTCCTCTCCACTCGTTTCCTCTCGTCACTGAGCAGGTACCGTGCTCCAGAGGTGCTGCTGCAGTCCACCGTGTACAACGCCCCCATTGGTACGTGCCGTGCTCCCTGCTGTATTAAAAGTCTGTCGTCCCAAACCCCCAAGGTGCTGCCTGCTCCATCGTCGAACGTGCCGTGCTCCTTGCTGTATTTCAAAGCTCCCCTGTTATCCGTGTTTCCCCCGCGCCGGTTCCCCCCTTTTTGTCCCCCTTCCCCTCTTCCCGACCTCCCCGAACGCAACCCCCCAACTAATGCAGATATGTGGGCGATTGGGGGCATAATGGCGGAGCTATTTTCGCTCCGCCCGCTCTTCCCTGGCGCCAGGTGCGGATGGGTTGGGATGGGTGCATGGGGATCACTGGGGCATGTGAATTACGGGGGCATCACATGGGAATGTGGCCACATGAAGCACAGCATTCAAGGCTCATCTTCTTCACGAAGCACTACGATCTTCCCCTCTCACCGCTCCCAATCGTTCCATATCCACTGCACATCTCCCATACCATGCACAACCTATCTCCCATACCCCTTTTATCTCCCCTTCCTCCCCGCCCCTGGCAGCGAGATCGACGAGATAGTGAAGATCTGCTCTGTCATCGGTACGCCCACAGTGCACACGTGGCCGCAGGGCCTCAAGCTCGCTGCTGCCATGAACTTCCGCTTCCCTGAGGTGGGTGGGGCCGTGGGGGTTGGGTGAGTGGGAGGGCGGGTGGTTGGGAGGGTAGGGCTGTGGGTGGGTGGATGGGTCCCTCGCACCTGAAGCTCGAATGCAAGCCACACGCCCACGGTGCACACGTGGCCACAGGGCCTCAAGCTCGCTGCTGCCATGAACTTCCGCTTCCCTGAGGTGGGTGGGGCCGTGGGGGTTGGGTGAGTGGGAGGGCGGGTGGTTGGGAGGGTAGGGCTGTGGGTGGGTGGATGGGTCCCTCGCACCTGAAGCTCGAATGCAAGCCACACGCCCACGGTGCACACGTGGCCGCAGGGCCTCAAGCTCGCTGCTGCCATGAACTTCCGCTTCCCTGAGGTGGGTTGGTGGGCTGGTTGGGTGGGTGGGTGGGCGGGCGGGTGAGTGGATGGATGGGTGGGTGGATGGGTGGGTGGATGGGTGGGGCACTCGCACCTGGTTACGACCTGGACGCCTTATCATTATCTTTTTCACTCTCCAACCCCTCCCCTCTCCATCCGCCATCCCCCACCCAACACCAGTACTCGCCCATCCCGCTGTCGAAGCTCATCCCATCTGCCTCCCCGGAAGCCATTGACCTCATGATGCTGCTCTTCTCCTCACTGTCTCAGCATTCCCTTTTTTCCCCTTTCAAACCCCCCACACTCCCTACCCCACACCCCCCCCCCCCCCCCCCCTGCCCCTCTTCTCCTCCCCTTTCCCCAACACCAGTACTCGCCCATCCCGCTGTCGAAGCTCATCCCATCTGCCTCCCCAGAAGCCATTGATCTCATGACGCTGCTCTGCTCATGGGACCCCGCCAGGCGACCCACAGCCGCACAGTCGCTGCAACACCCGTTTTTCCTGGTGGGTTGGGGAGGGGAGTGGGTAACAGGAGGGAATTGGGTAGCAAGTGGGGAGGTAGGAGGGTGGATCTCATGACGCTGCTCTGCTCATGGGACCCGGCCAGGCGACCCACGGCCGCGCAATCGCTGCAACACCCTTTTTTCCTGGTGAGTAACAAGATGGGATGGGAGGGGATGGTGGGGGTGGGATCACATGACGCACGCTGCAATGCTCCTGGGACCCTGTCAGACGACCTTTGCCCCCATCCCATGTTGTGCCCTACTCTCATTTTCCTTGCCATAACATCTCCTCTGCGGTTCTGCCCTCCCCTCTTTGGCCACCCACACTCCTTTCTTCCCCTCCCCTCCCCCAGAGCGGAATCCAGGTCCCCCCAGTCATGCCGTCACCCAAGCCAAACCCCACCAACTCCAGCCGCACACACCCTGTCACATCGCCGCACCTCCCCTCCCTTCCACAAGCCGCCAGCAAGCCATACAGCCACCTAGACGAGCACTTGGACGAGTGGGAAGGGGCGCCGGGGCAGTCAGGGGGAAGCGGGGCAATGGGGCCAGCGGGGGGGGGAATGGGCGCGGGAGGGGGAGGGGGAGGGGGGTATATGCAGCAGCAGGGGCAGGTGGTACAGCAGCAGCAGCAGAAGCAGCCGCTGCAGCCGCACCTGCTGCAGCAGCAGGGGGGGTATTCGAGTCAGGATAGCGTGGGGGCGAGAGCGGGAGCTTTGACTCAGAAGCAGCTGCAGCTGCAGCAGCAGCAGCAGCAGTTGCAGCAGCAGCAGCAATTGCAGCAACAGCAGCAGTTGCAGCAGCAGCAGCAGTTGCAGCAGCAGCAGCAGCTTCAAAGGCAGCTGTCAGGGGTTAGTGGGGTGGAGCAGCAAGGAGCAAGGAGGGCGGCAGGGCAGTATGGGCAGCAGCAGATGGGGCAGCAGGTGGGGAAGCAGGTGGGGGGGGTGGGCATGGAGCAGCAGGGCTCGAGAGGGCGGGGACAGGGGCAGCAATACGCGCAGCAGTTGCAGCAGCAGTTGCAGCAGCAGTACCAGCAGCCTTTGGACGTTGGAAGCGACCTGGCGGGACCTGGGCTTGAAGCAATGACTCCTAGATCTCGAACCCAGATGCAGCAGCAGCAGCAACAGCAACTGCAGCAGCAGCAGCAGCAGCAGCAACTGCAGCAGCAGCAGCAACAGCCTTACGTGCAGATGCAGAAGCAACCGCTGACGCTGCAGACCCAGCTGTCTGGGGTGAACGCGGCTGCACTGGAAGCTCTAACCCCTCGCGCCCGTGCCCAGTACTACCAGCAGCAGCAGCAGCAGAAACCGCTGCAGACGCAGCTTTCAGGTGTAGGCCTTGACCCGCTAACCCCGCGATCCCGCCAGCAGCAGCAGCAGCAGCAGCAGCAGTCCCAGTACCAGCAGCAGCAGCAGCTACAGTCCCAACTGTCAGGGGCGGGGTTGGAGGCTATGACTCCCAGGTCGAGGTCCCAGGCCCAGCAGCTTTTCCAGCAGCAGCAGATGATGCAACAGATGATGCAGCAGCAGCAGCTGCTAGAGTCGCAAGCAGGAGGGCAGGAGCAGGCACAGGCTCGCATGCGTGCCCGCGCTCCTCCCCCGTTGCAGCAGCCGCAGCAGGGAATGGGGCAAGGGCAGGAGTATAGCATTGTCTCACCCCGAGCCATGCAGTCGTTTCAAGATGGGGGCTATGCCGGGCCGGCGGGCTTGCCGGAAAACTTTTCGGGCAGACCGGATCCGATGCATATGGACGGAGGGGGAGGGGGGTTGGGGGGAGGCGGAGGGGGAGGGGGAGGGGGAGGGGGAGGGGGAGGGGGAGGGAAGTCGTCGCAGGGTATGGGGTTCCTGGGGAGGAAGATTGCATCCAAGAACATGAGCGGGAGGAGTCAGCAGCCTGTTGGGGATGGAGGAGGAGGAGGTGGGGGTGGGGGAGGGGGAGGGGGAGGAGGGCGGTTGGCATCTTTGCAAAGATACGGCAGCCAGTTACTGGGTGAGTGGTGGGGATGGCGTGAGTGAATGATTTTCCCATCGAGTCAGAGCGTTTTTTTGTTGACTTTTTAGTTGATTTCTGAGTCCACACAAGGATTAGAGAGCCAAGTACTGCATCTGTGGGGAGGGCTGCGTGAATGGTAAGCCTGACTCAAAGCACTGGCCCATGGGTTCACTCAGTTGTCCTCATTAGTCCCCTCTTTCTCCTGCCCCTCAACCCCTCCTGTTCCCTCCCATACCCCATCTCCTTCCCGTATCCACCCATCTGTCTGTCTGTCTTTGCGAGTGTTCTTTGAATTTTATTATGATAACACCTCCTTCCCCCATCTGCCTCCCCCTCTTTCTCTCTACCACTACCCCATTAATCTCCCCTCCTCTCTGGCTGGCAGGCATATCGCGGCACTCGAATGCATCTTCTTCTCGATCCAATGCTACAGGAGCTGCCCCCATGGTACGACCTCCAAACCTCCTCTCCCCCCCGCCCCACCCCCACCTTTCCATCTCCTCAACGTTTGTCCAAACTTCTCGTTTCTGACTGTATGGTTGGTTCTTCCTGCATTTCTCTGTCCCATCTTTTGACATTGTTTGTGGGAAGTGTAGGGTGCGTTGTAAACGAGAATCCTGTTATTACATCTAACCAACACATCATGCGAAGCACCCCAAGCAAGATTCTCATTTACAACGCTCCCTACACTTCCCACAAACAATCTTAACATTCTCGTCTAATTGGCGCTTCCTGCGTTTCTCTGTCCCATTTTTTTACATATCATGCCCTTTTCGTCCTTCTCTTCTTCTGATAATGATGACGCATGGATCGCCCTTTTTTTCCGTCTCATCGCCATCATTGTCCTCTTGCCCCATCAGGACATGCAGATGGACACATCACCGCACATGCCAGCACCTTCATCCCGCAAGTCTGCAGCAGGTTAGATTTGCAACTCTCTTAAGTGTGCCTCCATCTTCTCTCTCTACCTCTTTGATCTCCCTCCCACTCTCCCCCCTTTTTCCTTTCAACTCCCTGTCTTCCTTTCTTGTGCCGCCTCCCATTGCCCCCCTCCTTTTTGCCCCGTCCCCAATTGCCCCGTCCCCCATTGTGCCCGCTCAACCCACCCCACTCTTCTTTCTCCTGTTTCTGCCTCTGTACTGCCACTCCCACCAGCACTAGCGCGGGCCGGGTCAGCAGCAGCAAGCATGGCAGCAGCAGGGCCGCCCTCGCCGCACGACCCCAGTGCAGGTTATTCCAGGTATGGTGCCTGCCTGGTTATGCTGTTACGATGCACGTGCTATTCAAGGTATGGTGCCTGCCTGGTTATGCTGTTACGATGCACGTGCTATTCAAGGTATGGTGCCTGCCTGGTTATGCTGTTACGATGCACGTGCTATTCAAGGTATGGTGCCTGCCTGTTGTGACCCCAGGTGTGACTTTTGAGGCGCCTCAAAAGCAGCAAGTATGGCAGCAGTAGGGCCGCCCCTGCCTCACGACCCCAGTGCGGGCTTTTTCAGGTATGGTGACTCGTTGCAACACCAGGTATGCTCGTTGTGTCGACTTGAAATTGACTGCAGTGCAGGCTGCTATTCCAGGTGTTGTGCCCCACTGCGACACCAGGTATGCTCTCTGGGTTATGTTTTGCAATGCATGTGATACTTGTTGCATGTTAAACTGTGCATGGGGCAATCGTGAGCATGTGTGTTTGGAAATTTCCGACTACCATCCGCTCGTAAGGATGTCAAGTGCATGGACATACTACATGTTGCATGCTGCACAATGCTTGCATGAGGGGTGCGTGCACTTGTATTTGCATGTGTCACATCCACGGGCCTATGCATGTGCCCCCTTCCTCTCCCCACCATCAGAATGGGGACCTACCCAGCAACACACGCCCAGGATGCATATGCGTATGGCAATGGGCCAGCAGACATGGGTCCCGCTGGGGATTACTATGGTGGGGGAGGCGGCCAGATGGATATGATGGGGGGAGGTGGGATGGACATGATGGGAGGAGGAGGCATGGGGGGAGGAGGCATGGGGGGAGGGGCTGGGGGAGGCGGCGTGGGGGGGCCAGGAGGGGGTATGGCGCGAAACGGAAGATACTCGGTGGATATGGGGGGTTATTCGGTTCACTGAGAGGCCGGTTTGTTGATTTGATCCTGCTGCTAACTTCTTGGCTGCAACTGCTGTTGCTGGTAAACGCGGAGTACGGACCCGGCTGGTGCCGCCGATGCTGCTGCTGGTGCTGCTGCTGAAGGAGCCACGTACCTGCAGCAGTTTTATTAAACAGAAACCAGCAGCCCCTTCATCACTAACAACCACATGATCTCAAGGCTCACAACTACCCCCCAGCTGGTTTCTCTTTTGTCCATTCCTGGTCATTCAAATCGCCTTGCATCGAGATGGGTCGGCTCCAAGTGGCATTGCTGTTTCTGGCTGCAAGCACTTCAGATGGATGGGAAACATGACATCAACGGCCGGCTATTGTTTTGTCATTCTAATGTCAAAATTCCAGCAGTCTTGTTTTTCTTCCTGTAGCGTGCTCCTAATTTCTGAACCAAGATTGCAGTTGTGTACCAACCAACAATTGTGAGGGTTGCTGATCTAAGGGATAGTGTGATATTGTTCACAGTTTTTCCATTGTTTACTGATTTATGTCTGGTTGGGCATGTGCACAAGCACGGACTCCTCGTGATGAACGGAAGGTAGGTGCAGTATAGCTCGCAGAAATCAATGCCTTCTGCTGAAAGCATAATGACACCCTAGATAACTAGCTCGCATAAATCAATGCCTTCTGCTGAAGGCAGAATGACATTAAGAGTTCACCCTAGATAACTAGTATTTGCGACCAACTCACCCTGTTTTAGGAGGAGCCTTTGGGCGGGTGTAAGAGTTTTAGGCCTTGCAGTGCCACCCCCTGATCCAGTAACGTACCCTGTCGACTCCTATCTAGGAGCCGTTTCTTTTCGAATGTCACTTCCTTTGGGGCAAAGGCCTCACTTTTGCTATATCTGGACGCCTCTCACAAAAAAGAGGTGTGTTTTCATCTTGTGTCTTGTGTGGACGGTTCACGCATGCATTCTGTTTCGTTCGACCTGGCCAGAGTGACCAGTGACTGTAACACAGCTACAGTGTACAGAAGGTATCGAAATCCCACATCTGATCTTTTTCTCTTGTGCAGTAACACATTGTGCGGACTTCGTCGCACCCTACGCTCGGACGACTTGGTCGCTTCGCTGCCCTTTCCGGAAACCACTTTCCTTTCCACACTTTCCCGAAAGTTACCACAGTAAAACACTGTGCTGTTCAGAGGGCGGGTGGGAAATCAAGAGTCGTCTGCGATCGTTGCGTACAGTTTGTGATAGCGGTTCGCGAAAATGAATTGTGTCAGAGAGCCAGTTCGCATGGTGTCAGCTTACTACAGTACAGTAAATTTCTCATCGACCCAATGACGTGTACTGTGTGCATTGACCTGAGAGCCACCCCACAAACCGTAATTCGCCGTACACCCTCTTTCTCGATAGACTGGCATCTGTTAGACTGACAGGGACGCCTAGTGTGACCACAACGGACCAAAGAAGGTCCTATCACATGCGTTATAGTGACAATTTGACCCAAGGTGGTCAGTCAGGGTTTCAAACTTTATAAAATGGTACTGTCGTTTTCAAAACGGTTGGGAAGGCTATTCAGCGTTAACGATTTTTTACTGCCCAAGGCTTGTTTCATCACCTTGTGCGACTTTGCCCGCAACCGAGTTATCGCACCAGCCCGCTACGTCCAAACACTGTAGCCAGTGCGCGCGATGGTGAGACAGGTGAGAAAGAAGGTGTACTAATTGTGTCGAACCTACCGCACCACACCACAAATTTGTCCTCCATCGACCTTTCCTGATCCCATCCCATCCACCGATGATATATGTGCCATGCCATGTATCATCATGTACTTACGTATGTCCATCGTGTGACTGGCCTTCTTTTTCATGAATGAAGGCCATTCCTCAAACACAACTTGTTCGATTTGTTGGGTAAGAATGGTGGGGTATCTCAAGTTCCACAAGTTTTTGTTTGCGCCATGGCAGAAGTACCTTCTGTTTTGTTGTCAGGCTAGGATCCTCGTACTATGCCGTGTTTCGAACGCGGATCGTGCGAATGCACTCGATTTGCTGAACTGATGGCTTAGCATCAGCCATTTTCCGTTCGAAGCATTTTGAAATCCGACGTGGAATGGCCAAACGTTCTGCCAGGCTTCCACACCTGTGACTTGCTGAGTCGCGAAAACGATACCGTTAATGGTTCCATGACAGTCTTTAACCCCGTTAACTCGTTCCTTTAGATTCCGATCTAAAACGTTCACATAGAGCGGAGTTGCGAGTCCAGATTCGCTCCTACTGGCCGTACAACAATAGACGATTTATTCTTTAGAATGTTCTTGATAGCTTCACCCAGCTTTCACGTTTCGATCCTGAGCGATTTGGAGTGCGGCTACCCTTGCAGCTGCGTCTATGGGAGGCTGTCTGGGAACCAGCAAGAATCACCACGCGTCGCAACCGATCGCTTCGGATCAGGTTCGTCGAATGTCGCTCCATTTCACCAGTCGCTCGCACGATGGTTCGATAGCGAATCGAGCCAAGAACTAGAATGGTAGGTATGCCAGAAGCACTACTTAGAGGATCTCATTTATTCAACTGGACATTTCGGATCAGGCTTAATTCCCTTGTGCACGTGAGGAGGGTTAGCTTGGTAGAAATGTGTGCACGAGAGACGAGACAGAGGTGAATCTGGAGTCGACCCAAGGTGGCGGTTTGGCGAATCGAGCCAACACGATATACGCGATATTAGATGCGTTGTCTATGCAGCAGCCACGAAACCCCCTTCATGTATTCGCGTGGATCGTGAATCTGCTGATTCGTAGTCTTGTTCCCACAAATTAGGAGTCCGATTTGATCCGCCTTGCACGCGTCACACCAACCCTGATCGCCCCTCTCCACGCAACTCTTTCCGCGCGATCTTCGCAGAAAGGCGAAAATGAAGCTCCGGCGCGGCCTCGACCCACTCGTCCCACGCGCACTCGGTCGGAAGCCGCGGCTACCGCATGTCTTCCCCCACGTTCACCCAAGCACTACTACCGCCGAACGGATGACGTCACGAGTAGAACGGATGACGTCACGACGCCAGCCGTTGGAGTGGATCCTGGCAGGGGAGCAGATGACGTCATGCAGAAGGGGTCGGCTGACGTCACGCCTAACGGCGTTCATAGTTCAGCGGCGAAGGGGGTCTCCCTGGATCGAGATAGCACTGCTACGGTGAGGGGTGGTGATCCCTTTCATCGCCTTTACGGAATGTCCCTTCATCTGTTTATTTTGTGTTTTTATCTGGGAGGGAAGTGATTTCGTTGCGCCGCATTGTCCATGATAGTTTCTATACACCCTAATCAGTCTTCGTTTGCGCCGTTTGTTCATGCTCCCTCTTCCCCTCCCCCTTACCCTTTCCCCCTTCCCCCTTCCCCCTTCCCCCTTCCCCCTTCCCCCTTCCCCCTTCCCCCTTCCCCCTTCCCCCTTCCCCCTTCCCCTCCCGCTTTCCCCCCCTCCTCTAACCCCCCTCGTATGTTGCGTCTGCGAAGGGAGGTGCGCTAGCATCGGAGTCGAACCCAACAACATCCCCCGCACCACAGCACCGCCAGCAGCACCAGCAGCAGCAGAAGTCACCCCAGCGCTACCAACAGCAGCAGCAGCAGCAGCAAACGCCGCCGCGTCCCCAAGCGCGATCGCCTGAACCCACCAGATGGCCGCCCGAGCCCCCGTTAGAGTCACCACACCACGGAAAAGGAACCGCCAGAGGGGTAGTTCCAGAGGGGGGTATCATAATCAGAGACCCAGAGGGCCATGGTGAGGGGGGCAGTGAGGCGAAGGACGGTTCTTCTCGTGGGAAGAGCTCGGCTGCGCTGAATGCAGGGGGGGTTCGGGCGGTTGAAGAGCGCGGGGAGAGTGAGTTGGGTAACAGCCGTGCTCCACGCGAGGCGGCAGCAGCAGCAGTAGCGGGAGCAGCGGGTGAAGCTGCAGCAAGAGCGGAAGTAGAAGACGCAGGTCCAGCCAAAGTACCGGACTCAGCAACGGGAGGAGCAGTCGCAGCAGGAGCCATAGGAACAGCAGCAGCACCACCGGCACCAGCAGCAGGAGCAGCAGGCGCGATAGGAAGGGTACCGAGTCCCACAGCAGTGACCAAACTCCCAGTACCAGAGTTCTTCCCGGACACTACAGCAGCGGACCCAGCAGACGCGTGGGTGAGCCGTCCGCCAATAGACGAGGGCAAGCCCATCCGGTGGCGCAAGGGCGAGCTGATAGGCGCGGGCGCGTACGGGTGCGTGTACATGGGACTCAACCTGGAGTCCGGCGAGCTGCTGGCCGTGAAGCAGGTGCTGATTCCGTCCGCCTCCACCACCAAAGACAAGGCGCAGGTGAGGCGGGGGAGGTGGTGGGAAGGGGAGTGGGGGTGGCCCGGGTGTGTGACGGTCTGGCTGTCTGGGTGGCCCGGGTGTGTGACGGTCTGGCTGTCTGGGTGGCTGGGTGTTAGGGTGTGCCTTGGCCCCTGCGTGAAAGGGAATGCGTGAAAGGGAATGCGTGAAAGGGAATGCGTGAAAGGGGGCGAGCTGATAGGAGCGGGCGCGTACGGGTGCGTGTACATGGGGCTCAACCTCGAGTCTGGCGAGCTGCTGGCCGTGAAGCAGGTGCTCATCCCGTCCGCCTCCACCACCAAAGACAAGGCGCAGGTGAGGAGAGGGGGGGAGGGGGGACGGTGGGGGGGGGGAGAGTGGGGGAAATGGGGGGTGACTGCCTGGCTGTCTGGGTGTCTGGGTGTTAGGTGTACCTTAGGAGTGACTTTTGAGAATTCTCAAAAGTCACTCCCATGTGACTGCCTGGCTGTCTGGGTGTCTGGGTGTCTGGGTGTTAGGTGTACCTTAGCCCCTGCGTGAAAGGGAATGCTGGCCGTGATGGCTGCCTGGTTGTGCATTGGCCTGCGTGAAAGGGCAGTGTGGTCGCGTACCTTGGATATAAGTACTCATTCTCCTTGATGTTATCATGTTTGCAACGATGCAGGAGTACATCAAGGGACTGGAGGCGGAGGTCGCAGTGCTGAGGAACCTCTCGCACCCAAACATCGTGGTGAGAGAGGCAAAAGCCAGGTCCTTTCACTATCCTGTCGCCAGCACTGTCACTGTCGCCAGCACTGTCGCCAGAATTACCCTGCTTGCAAGATTCAGCAGAATGTGTCGTTCCAAGAGACTGCACTCGGATCGTGTGGCAGCGCTATCTGGGCACGGCGAGGGAGGAGGAGGCGCTCAACATCTTTCTGGAGTTCGTCCCAGGGGGGTCTATTGCCTCGCTGCTCAACAAGTTTGGGTGCTTCACGGAAAAGGTGGGTCTGGATGACGCAGCTGAAAAGACGCGTTGTTCCTGGAGGGTGTTGATGTTTCTTGGTTCTTGTTTTCTGTTGTCCTTTTCTCGCACCCCAAGATTGGAACCCTTGTCTTTGGATCACCTCGTGTTTTTTTTTTTTTTTTTTTTTTTTTTTTTTTTCCCAGCAATCCGTTATTTATTTTATTTTGCATTTCATGTGTAAATCCATTTCATGCAATTATTCTGCATATCCTGCCAGGTCATCCGGATGTACACGCGGCAGCTGATGACTGGCCTGAGCTACCTTCATTATAATCACATCATGCACCGAGATATCAAGGTGAGGGTTTGCATTAGTGAGTTTTGATAAATTTCGGGATGCTGCAAAGCTTTCTAGCTTCACTCACTATATAATCACATCATGCACCACGATATCAAAGTGAGATTCGCAACAAAGTGTGTTGAGACGTCAGTCATATACCTTCATTAGAATCATGTTATGCACCATGATATTCACATGGTTGACACTATGCTCTGTCCTCCCTCCCTCCCCTCCTTCCCTCCTTCAGGGTGCCAACATTCTGGTGGACAACAGGGGGTGCATCAAGCTGGCTGACTTTGGGGCGTCACGGAAGTTAGCAGACCTGGCAACGATGAGTGGGCACAAGTCCATGAAGGGCACGCCCTACTGGATGGCGCCCGAGGTCATCAAGCAGACGGGCCATGGCAGGTGGGCTAACCATTCGTTGCAGGTCAAATTGAGAGGCTTGGCAGGTATAGGCATAGGTTTGTGAGGGGAACCTACGCCATTGATTCAACCTCTCCTTGTTTTTTTTCCGCGTGCCCGTGCACTCACTCTCCCTTGCTGCATCTCTCTGCACTGCAGGCCAGCGGACATCTGGAGCGTGGCATGCACAGTCATTGAGATGGCAACTGGCAAGCCGCCTTGGAGCGAGTTCCTCTCCCAGGTATCATGTCATCCTCCTCCTTTTCACGTCCTTCTCTTCAGGACCCTTAGTTCTGTAGTCAACTCAAAATCCTTCCCATCTCCTTTGTCGCCTGCAGGTGTCAGCGCTGTTCCACATAGCACTGTCCAAGGGCCCGCCTCTCATTCCCGACCACCTGGTGGAGCCAACGCCCCCCTCAGTTTATCCCGAATTTCCCACACCCCTTATGGCCCTTCACTGCGCAGGTCTCGGCACTGTTCCACATAGCGCAGTCCAAGGGCCCGCCACTCATCCCCGACCACCTGTCTGCCGACGCCAAGGACTTTTTGCTGCGCTGCTTCCACCGGTGAGCATGACAGCATGCGTGGATGCATGCATGGATGCATGCTCTGCACCATTGTAACACATTTCTACAGCACATAGCCCACTCCACAGTCCAAGGGCCCGCCTCTCATCCCCAACCCCCATCTCTGCGGACGCAAAGGACTTTCTGCTGCGCTGCTCCACCGGTGCGGTCCCCCCTCTCTGCCCTCTCAGCCCTCTCTCTCTGCAAAGCCCACGCTCATTTCTACCTTCAGTTTCATCCGGCTTATTTCATCCACTTGGTTCTGTGTGCTGCATGCTCGTACACACCCTGCATGTGTCTTGCCGCGTCTGCTTGCGCACACATGCTGCCGTACCCATCTGTACCCCTCTTTCTGTACCCCTGCTACCCCTGTACACCCCTGTGCGTACCACTCAGTGATCCAAACAAGCGCCCAAGTGCGGCTGAACTTCTCAAGGCAAGCCAGCTCCCTAGAGAATAGAATCAGTGATATTTGTTTTCCTTTTCTTTTTTTTTGCTGAAGACTACTGGGCAGCCACGAAACCTCCTGGTGATTTCTGCCTCTCTCAACTCCCCATGTATTGTTCCCTTTTCCTCTAGCCCACCCCCTTCAACTCCTCCATCCCCCGACTTCCCTCTTATCATTTTCTTTCTCCTCGTTCTCTCATCTTGTTCTTGTCCTCTCTTTTGCTCCTCTCCCCCTCATCTCTTTTCTTCCTCCCCCCCCTCCGCACCCTTCCTTCCCATGCTGCCCTGCTTCATTACTGCAGCACCCCTTTCTGACCGACATGCCTTCGCCAATGGATGAAAATCTGACTACCCCCCCTCGCTCCACTGCCACAACCGCAACAGCAGCAGCAGCAACAACGGTTAAGGCAGAAGCAGCAGCACAAGGAGTAATAGGAGGAGCAGAAGCAGCAGCAGCAGTGACGCCTGCAAAAGCAGGCACGCTCACATCAACAGCCACTCCACTCTCTCCCACTGCTCGTGGGAGGTTGCAGGGGATAGGTGCCACTGCTGCTACAGCTGCTGATTCGACCCTCAATGGCTTAAGAGAGGTCAGTGCCAGTGTCGGTGTCAGTGTGGGTGTCGGTGTCGGTGTCAGTGTGGGTGTCGGTGTCGGTGTCAGTGTGGGTGTCGGTGTCGGTGTCAGTATCAGTAGTGTCGTCCCGTGTCAAGCCAGGGTGGTTGCTGTGGCAACCCAGTAATCGCCTGTTCTGCTGCCAAATCGTTCGTCCCCCAGTGCTCACCTCTCTATCGTCACCGCATCGATCCCAGTCGACTTCTCCCCCTCATTCTCTCCCTCTCTCTCCCTCCCTCTCCCCCTCCCCTTCTCCCATCTCCCCCCAACCCCACCCTCTATACCCACCAACCAACCATTCCAGGCACCTCTCTCCCCCACCAGCCCTCCGGACTGCTGGCATGACACGCTCCCTGGTAGCCCCTCTCTTGCCTCCCCTCACCATCACCAGCGCTCTCCCAGCAACAACCGCCCTGCTGATAATGCTGACACCCCTACCTCACGCCTAACTCACCACCTAACCCCCTCTACCTCACGCCTAACACCCTCCAGCGCACTCCACTCGCACCTAACCGAAACAACACCCCATGACACCTTACAGACGCCTCTGGACAGTGACTCGCCGGACCCTGCTTCTTCTGCTTCGTTCTCCCATAATTTGACTGATCTCACCCACACAACAGACGCTGGGGGACAAGGGCAGGGACAGGATTGGCAGAGGCAGGGGCAGGGGCAGAGGCAGGAGGAGCAGCAGGGGAAGGGGGACGAGGGGGTGCGCATGTCACGGGCGAATCTCATGTCAGGAACCAGCACGGCATGGCAGCCTGGAGCCTTCTCAGAGCTTTCCGACCTCTCGTTTCGGGTGAGTATCTAAAGTAGAATCAGACCGCCAATTAAAGAAAAAAAAAATGATATATATATATATATATATATATTTGCTTGACGCGTCATGAAGTCATGAAGGGCACTGACGCTTGTCGCTTCATGAAGTCATCAGACCGTCATGAAGTCTCTCTGTCTCCCTTTTTTCCGCTTGACGCGTCTCCCCTCTCCCAACGACCCTCCTGCCTCCATCCATCCATACCCTCCCTCTCCCGTCTCCCCATTTTTCTCTCCCCCCACCTCAGAGCGATTTCAACCCGATGGAAGAGCCATCGCACAACGACCCGCTAGGCTCATACGTGACGGCAGCGCGAGGGCACGGGGGCGAGTCGTCTGCTTGCACTGAGGACGAGGTCACAGGGCCTCTGAGAGAACACGTGGGCGCAGATAGTGCCTCCCGGGAGGATATGTGTTCTCATCAGAGCGACGCACTGTCGGCGGGCGGGACAAGCAGTGGGACGGTGGGAGCAGTGGGAGAGAGGGGAGCGGTGGGAGCAGTGGGAGGGAGGGGAGAGCGGGGAGAGGGATGGGGAGAGGAGGGAGTGGGCGGAGGGGAGAGTGGGGAGGTGGAGGGACGAAGGAAGGAGGAGGTGTGGGAAGGGGACAGGGCGGGTGGAGGGAGGGAGGGGCAGGAGAGGGGAGGGGAGGACCGTGTAGCTGTGATGGTAAGCCGTGGGAGTGCGGACGGGGGGCAGCTGAAACAAGGGCAGGAGCGTAAGGAAGGGCAGCAGAAGCTGCCCGTTGAAGGGCTGAGTGAGCTGAGTGATGGTGAGAGGTTGAGACCAGGAGAAGAGGTGAGACCCGCAGAGGGGTTGCGACCGTCGTTGCCGCAGCTGGACTTGTCTCTGGCAATGTCTCACGAGCAAGGGGGACTGGGAGGCATGGAAAGGGAGGAGAATGAGACCTATTCGGAAGAAGCAGTGACTGCTGCCAGGAATGCTACAGTGGGTGCTCGAGGGAGTGAGGCAAGAGGAGCGCTAGATGACGCAGATGGAGTGCTGGCAATACAGCAGCAGGCAGGGCGGCAGGCGGAGGAACAGGCAGAGCAGCAGGCAGCAGTTTCTAGTGAGAGAGCTGGTCGGCCCCCATCCCCTTCTTTTCTGAAGCATGGCGGGGCGGGTGGGGCGGGTCACAACACGCCAGGGCATACCACCATACCCAGCCGGCCTGCTGGGCTCTCCCCCTCTCCCCGCCGCCATCGCGAGTCCTCGCCTGCCCGGAAAAAACGGATTCTCAAAGAGAGCTTTGTGCTCCCACGAGATCTGTCCCCCTCTGCCCGCATGCAAGCAGGAGTAGCATCGCCGGCAACGGCAGCGGCAGCGGCAGCAGCAGCGTCAGCGGCTGGAGGAGCAGGAACAGCAGCAATGTTGGCGACGACAGCAGCAACAGCAGGACCTGCAGCGGTGCTCTCCTCTCCCTCCACTGCCACTCAAAGCCCGTCACCCTCCCTCCCCTCCCCCTCCCGCCGCTCCGCCTCCCCCTCTTCCTCCTCCTCTGCCCGCCGATCCCACCACCTACCTTCCCGAATCATCCACTCAATCAGCCAATCAGCTATCTCCGTTCCTGGACCCGTCTCATCCCCCTCCTATCACAGCTTCGAAGGGCCCCTCTCAGGGAAAGCAGGGGAAGGCAATAGGGTTACCCGCACGCCCTCTCACGGGAGTGAACAGAGAGCAGTGGGGAGTGAGAGGAGTGAGAGGAGTGAGAGTGAGAGCAGAGGAGGGGAAGGTGGGTCGGGGAGGGCGCCGACTCTTTCGCCGCGACCGCCCGGGATTGTCAGCAGCAAGTCGGGCAGCTGGGTGAACAGCAGCGAGGGCGACTTTTCTGGGTGGCAGCACCCGGGCAGCTTCGAAAGTTTTGGGCAGGAGGGGAGGGTGGGGAGGCAGGGGAATGGGGCGTTGCACAGAGGGGGGAGAGGGAGTGTGAGCAGCAGTAGAGCGTCGGTTGGGGGAGGGGTTGGAGGATCAGTAGTGGGGTTAGGAGGAGTGGGGAGGGTTTTGAGTGGTGGGGGAGGGGTGCCGGTGGGGAGGAGTGGGTCGGGAGGGAGCTTGTTTGCGAGTGGAGTGGGAGGGGTGATGTACCCTTCTGGAGGCAACGTCTTGGCCCTGCTACATGACAGCACTGACAGGTAGGTGGGGGGAGGTCATGTTTATCCTGTTTTTTTATACTAAGACATTGAGGGTGGCAACAGTTTGGCGTTGCTCAGTCGTGGCAGCCTACCATTCTCCTGTTTGCAAACGGCTTGTTGCAATCTTGCTGACTCATTCCTGTGGCCTGTCCCTTGGTGACGTCATCTGCAGCTTTGTTGGCCAATCCGGGGACCTCAAGCGACAGCAGTGGGAGGCAGAGCTACAGCAGGAGCTGGCGTTGCAGCGAGGTGCGTGTGTGTAATAGGATAGCTGGCAAACGAAACAGATCTAACAAAAGGTCCAGCAGCAACTGAATGTGACTCTCTTGCAGCATATAAGGCTCGCCTCCTTCCCCCACTCCCCCCTCCTCTTTGCTTGGCAGAGGAGAAGCGCAAGCAGATGTCTCGGTCGAGCAGCATCATCAGCAGTGCTGCAGGGGGGGTTGGAGCCAGCCACGCCAACAGCATTGTGTGTGCTCACTCCTTCCCCCACTCCCCCCTCCTCTTTGCTTGGCAGAGGAGAAGCGCAAGCAGATGTCTCGGTCGAGCAGCAACAGCAGCGCTGCAGGGGGGGTAGGTGCCAGCCACGCCAACAGCATCGGCAGCGCCAGCAACGTCAGCGGCAGCCATGCCAGTGCGGTTGGCAGTGCAAGCACAAGCATCAGTGCGAGTGCGAGTGGGTCTCGAGAGTTCTTTGGACCGCCAGGCTCCGTCTCCTCTCCACGCAGAAACCCGCCGGTCTAACTGCCAGGAGCGACTTTTAAGAAGGAGAAGCTTCCCATTGGCTTCCCATTGACTTTTAAGATCTTGCTGAGCTGACCCACAAGACACTTCCACCCACCCATCCAACAACCCATCCAATCACCCATTCTAACACCCATCCACCCAGGCTAACCGCTCCTCACTACTAACTTTCCAGCAGCCTCTCCATCTGCAGCAGAACTTGATTACCGGTATAAGACATTCATTTTCTCCATCCACCCTTCTATCCTCCCCACATCCATCCACCTACCCACCGAGGCTAGCACACCTCCCTAACCTTCCTTAGCCTCCAGATTTCTGATTGACCTGAAGCCGCTGCTAGTACCGTAAGATGGCCTTGCACCCAGCCCAACCTGACCCAACCCAGACCAACAGTGGTGCTGGTGCTTAGTTATTGAGTGCTTCAATTCAACTGCCCCGATTCCTGGTTTGCTGGTGGCTGTTGTGTTGCAGTTTGCAATGCCAGCTGCAAGTGTACTGGGTCGGTAGAGTGGCTGTTGCAACCTATATCATTATATTCCCTCAACTAGTGTGTTCTTTTGTGGTGTGTTTGAATTCGTAGTGGTGTTTGTTTGCCGAGTATTCTTATTACAGCGCCGCTTAATCACTAGCTTTGCAAGGTGTACAAGGGATGCAGTGTACATGTTATACAACAACGGCAGCAAATTACGGTATACATAGTAGATGCTTTGTTCTACCATATGCCAGTACTGGTAACTTGAATGCTTAATCGTCTTCATCTGCTTTTGAGTCGACTCAAAAGCATTATACATAGTACATGCTATCTACTGTATTCCTGTACTGGAAACTAGAATACTTGCTCCTCTTCATCTGACAGCGAATCATCTGCCAGCTCAGACAGCCAATCAAAAACCTCCAGCTGTGCAGCTCTCCTGACTCCACCTGCTAGTGTCATGCTTGCCTGCTTCACTAAAGGCTGCTCTGCTACTGGCGCTGTTCCTCTTTGCAAGAGCACCTGTGGTGCAGGGTTTAGAGTTGGAGAAGCTGTTGAGGCTGTTGGTGAAGCCATTGACTGCCAGGCAGCACCAGCAGGAGAAGCAGAACCAGAAGCACCAGTAGCACCAGAAGCGCCAATAGCGCCAGCAGCAGAGGCACCAACAGCAGCAGGAGAACGGGCAGCTGTAGCACGGTGGTGGGAAGCAGGGGAAGCAGCAGCAGGAGGAGCAGCAACACCAAGAGAAGGAACGGCAGTGGTGGCAGAAGGAAGAGCAGTGGGAGGAGCAGCAGCAGCAGCAGGGGGAGCAGGGCGAGCAGGGGCAGCAGCAGCAACAGCGGTGGCGGCAGGGCGAGCAGGGGAGGTAGAGTTGGACCACTTGGCTCGTAGGGCATGGAGGATGGCCCGTGCCTCATGCACTGCTGCTCTCCGCTCCTCAGGCAAACCGGGACTTACTCTCTCACATGCTTCTGGACCGGATTTCTGACGAGCTAATCCGTCAGATGGTTCTAGACCGGACCTCTGACGCTCTAAACTCTCTGGCAATCTCTGACGCTCAAATCGCTCAGATGCTTGTGCCAAGGCTCGTGGTCCTGCTCGTGCTCCTGCTCCCCCTGCTCCTACTCCTGCTCCGCTTCCTACTACTGCTCCCCCTGCTGCTGATGTCTCGTCTGCCCCATGTCCCCCTCCCCGATGCCCTGTCTCCTCCGCAACCCGCGCTCCCTGGCGCATCCCTTTGGCTCTGGCTGGAAGCCCAGCCGACCGGAGGCGGCGGAGGGGAGCAGGGTGGGCGTGGGCCAGGGGAGGGTGTATCAGAGGGGGGTTGAAGGCAGAGACTGGAAAGGAGGGGTTGGTCAGAGAGGGGTTAGAGGCAGAGGCAGAGACGGGTAAGGGATCAGAGGAGGTGGAGTGGACAGGAGGGGGTGGAAGAGAAGGGACGGGAGCGGGACGGATGGGACCAAATGCGAAGAGCTGTGAGAGGAAGGCGGAAGGAGTGGTGGGGGTGGGGAAGAGAGGAGGAGGTGCAGGTGGGAGGAGGAGGTGGGAGGAACTGTGGAAGAGAGGGGGGGAGCCGTTGGAGTCCTGAGAGGGTGGAGTGTGGGGGGAGAGGGAAGCGGGGGAGAGAGGGGGAGTGGAAGTGGGAGAGAGAGGAGGGGTGGCAGAGAGCAGAGGTGTGGGAGGAGGAGGAGAGCAGGAGGTGTGCGGAGACAGGGAGGCTGTAAGCGACTGTGGTGCATTGGTTGGCAAGGCCTTTGGAAGAGGAGGAGAATCAGATGTGCCAGCAACAGCAAGGGCGCTGGTAGCATGAGAGTTGATTGTTGGTGCATGTGAGGTGATTGTTGGTGCATGCGAGGTGATTGTTGGTGCATGTGAGGTGATTGTTGGTGCATGTGAGGTGATTGTTGGTGCATGTGAGGTGATTGTTGGTGCATGTGAGGTGATTGTTGGTGCTTGTGAGGTCATTGTTGGTGCATGTGAGGTGATTGTTGGTGCATGTGAGGTGATTGTTGGTGCATGTGAGGTGATTGTTGGTGCATGTGAGGTGATTGTTGGTGCATGTGAGGTGATTGTTGGTGCATGTGAGGTGATTGTTGGTGCATGTGAGGTGATTTCCCTTGCATCAACGGAAGGCTTTATGGCGTTGCCAACTGCATCACGAGCATCTGAAGAAGCACCTGAATTAGCACCTGAAACATCACAAGAACCACCAACACGCGCTGCACCATCTGTACTTCCTTGTGGCAACTCTGAGCCGTCCATTAAGCCCGATCTTCTCTGAGAATGCATCACAGCCGTTGATCCTCTAAGAGCCATCTCCCTAAGCTCACACGCCTCCCTGCCATGATGCCACGAAGTCAGCCTATGCACGCTCACACCCCCCACCAACAGAGCTGCGTTTCCTCCAGGTGATTCTTCAGGTAATTTTTCAGGTAAGTACTCTTGAGGCACCGTTGAGAACGCCTTCTCCCGGTCAGGTGATTGGCCACCTGCTGTCCGGCCGTCTTTCGCCAATCCAGGTGCTTCGACTTGCCACTGTTCCAGCTCTGGTGGTGCTGCCGTGTGCTCCCCCAACTGCTCATAATGTCGCTTCTGCGGTGCTTTCAAGTCTTGCTGCCATTGCTTTTGAAGCGGCTGCTGCTCGTGCTGTGGCTGCTGATGCTGCTGCCCCTGCCTATGCCTTTCAACACCCTCCTCACCCTCTCTCCACACATCACCCTCCATCCTGTCTGCCGCTCGCATATCAAATCCCACCGCAACCACCTGCTTGCCACCCAAGTCCCCACCCCTCGCCAACGGTCTTGACAGCCTACCCAAGCGTGCCAGCTGGACTGCCAGCTGGCGGGAGAGCCCTGCCACAGCTGCTTCTGCTGCACCGCCCTCCCTCACTGCATGTGCCCTCTCTGCTGCAAGTGCTGTCAAATGCGCTCTCAGAGTGGCAGCGGCATCTCGAGAAGAATCGAGAATGGTGCTCCTAGATTCAGGTGCTTCAGGTAACCCAGACGTCAATGGTGGCTCAGTTCCCTCAGGTGCCTCAGGTGCCCCAGGTGCCTCAGGTGCCTCAGGTGCCCCAGGTGCCTCAGGTGCCTCAGGTGCCCCAGGTGCCCCAGGTGCCTCAGGTGCCTCAGGTGCCCCAGGTGCCTCAGGTGCCTCAGGTGCCCCAGGTGCCTCAGGTGCCTCAGGTGCCCCAGGTGCCCCAGGTGCCTCAGGTGCCTCAGGTGCCCCAGGTGCCTCAGGTCCCTCAGAGGCGTCTCCGGGTGAATCGCGTTCTAAAACGCTCCCATGCGAATCGAGTGCTATTTCTCTCGCATGCACACCACGATCTACTGTGGACGACTCATTCGAACCCTGATAGGGATTGAGCTTTTCAGAATTGCGTGGCATAAAATCAAGGTACGCACTCCCTTGCTCCTGCTCCACACCGCTGCTACTGCTGCTGCCGACTCTGCTGCTGCCAACTCTGCTGCTGCCGACTCTGCTGCTGCCGACTCTGCTGCTGCCAACTCTGCTGCTGCCGACTCTGCTGCTGCCGACTCTGCTGCTGCCGACTCTGCTGCTGCTGACTCCGGCTGAAATGCAGGAGCTGGTTTGATAATTCTGCTGCTTGTAATCACCACTACCTTGCTCCTGCTCCACACCGCCACTACTCCTTCTGCCTGCACTGCAAGAGCTGCTCTCAGTGCTCTGCTGATTGCAATGATCAATCAACCGCTCCTGCTGCACCACGCTGCTGCTGTTGTTGCTGCTGTTGCTGCTGCTGCTGCTGCCACCGCCTCTGCCTGCATTGCAAGAGCTGCTCTCAGCAGTGTGCTGGCACAGGTGACCCCTCAGATGCCCCCCCTCCATCCCACTGCTGCTGTTGCAGCCTCTGCTGTCACTGCGAGAGTTGCTTTCGGCAATCTGTTCTTGACAGTAACCACTCAGCTGCTCCTGCTGCACTCTGCTGCTGCTATCGCCTCTATCGCCCTCCACTGAATGCTCTACACCTTTGAAACGTCCCAGAACCGAAGTGCACCTGTCAACACTCTGCGGCCTGACCTCCTCACTCCCCGCCTCCCTACGCCCATCCACCTCATCCTTCTCTTGTCTACTCATATCCGCCTCAAAACTAGACTTCTCTCGTCTACTCATATCCGCATCGCCCTCCTCCCTCCCACGTCTCTCCTTCTCATTCCCCACCCCTCTATCCCTATCCTCCTCATCCTCCCCCCTTCCACGTTTCCTCTCCTCGTTTTTCGCACTCTTCTTCTCCCCAACTACTCCCGGCCTCTGACCAAACCCGTTAATTGCTGCTAACTCGCTTCCCCACTCCTCTCCAACCCCCGAACCATCCACACTCTCTCTTCCCACCCCCTCACCCTCGATCCTCTCTTGCCCTCGGTTCACCAAACCTCCCTCTTCCCCCACCATCAGTCTCACCTTCCTCAGTTGTGCCTTCACCAGTTCCACCTCCCCCATGAGAACCCGCCTCTCCCTCTCCCCACTCTCCACCCGCTCTTCAAGCCTCCGCACCTCCCTCCCCCTCCGCTCCGCTTCCCTCTCCGCCGCCCGTCTTTCCGCCCGCATCTCCTCCATCTGCCGCCTGGTCAACGCCACTTGCGCCTCCAGGCGCGCCACTTCCGCCACCCAGAATCGCTGCTGCGCGTCTAGGGATTCACGCACTTCCTGCAGGAGTTTTTCCAGGTGCTTTTTGAAAGAAATCCGCTCCGATATAAGCTGTTTCTGTAGAAGCAGAATGACCTGCTCTGGGGTTTGACAGTCAAGCCAAGAAGGAATGAATTCTTGCGCTGCAAGGGGAGCTGGCGCTATTGGTGCTGCGGTTGCTGCTGCGGGTGCTGCTGCTGCTGGGAGTGCTGCTGCTTGTGATGCTGGTCTTGTGGTAGCTCCTGCTTCCGCTGCCGCTGCTGCTCCCGACCCTGATAAAAGCATGGCGTTTCTTACTGGTTCTGCTTCCACAGCTAGCAGTCTACGTGATGGGTGGTCCGGTAGCGCGTGTTCCTGTAACGCGTATTCCTGTAATCGACGTTCCTGGAGCCATCGTTCTTGTTGTCGTCGTTCCTGTAACCGTCGTTCCTGTAACGGTCGTTCTTGAGCATGCAGTTCCTGCCGCTGCTGATCCTGTAACGGCGACTCCCGAGGTTGAGATACATGCACGTGGTGTTCCTCTATGGAGTGTTCCATTAACGAGGCTCCTTCGCCCTGCGCTTCGTTTAACGGCAGTGCAGCGGGCGGCATGGCGAGGTGAGGCATTGTTACACGTAACGCTGTAACCAGCGGCATGGCGGCGGCTGAATCTGCTCCCTTCCTCCGTCTTGCTGTATTCCTCGAAGAAAAATTCAGAACAAGGAACACTAAACTCGATAGCCGACAGAGCTTCTCAAGTGCCACAGCAGCAGCTCCACCTAACGACTAGGCATGTGGCACATCATGTGCTCTCCTTGGGAACATATTCATCTACATGCAACTATCATGCAAGCACATTACCGGAAACCTAGTTACAGTACGGTGCGGACCGCCTATGGATGAATGGAAGTCTTGGACTCCCAGAGTATGTTTTGAGTCTTCTGGCTGTGGTCCTGTTTTTTCTGCAGATTTGGTAGACCATTACGTATCGGAAATTGTGTACACTGAAATCTTTTGTATATTGTATTGCAGCATAAGATTTCAGGAATGCATGGAAATTGTGGAGTCGCATCCTTCGCTGACAAAGTGTGATTCGGATCACACCGCTCATTTGCCATTCGTCAATTTTCAGTCGAAGGACGAAATCCCACCCTTGTACACTCCACGTCATCCAATTTTCCATGCCAGCGCTTCTTGTTCCCAGCTTGCGATTGGTGCTAGTTTATCCATCCGAATTTCGCTTCGCGCTTCTGGGAATCTGATCGGCTCGACAATTTCAAGGTTTGGCATGCGGAGAATTTTCTCCCTCAGCGCTGCTCCTGCTGCGGCTGGTCGCCACCATGCATGCTCTCACCTCGTCACAACCAAGAAATTCCTGGCCCGCTCTGGTCCATTTGCCACAACTTCAGCCTCATTGAAGGAGAGCGACTCCTAGCCTGACCACTATCGTTAGGGCTTGAACCGAAAAACTGTTGGGTCGGGGTATTTAAACAGTGTTTTAGTATCCGTTTGGTCCGAGTCGGACGGGTTTGCCTGATCCTTCGACAGACAGTAGCGAGTCACGATGTCGAAGTCGAACGATAAGAAGAAGGAAAAGACGGGTAAGGAAAAGATAGCTGGCCGTCAGATTACTCGTACACATAGCTCTTATGCAGAATACGTTTTCTGGTTGTTCGGCCTGCATAACATTGATACTGAGAGCCTATTCATGAGATTAAGGCGCGTTGATAACCCATCTCTTTCCTTGTCTCATTCTGCGCTAATTCTACGACGAATGAGCAGCGCTTCTGGATGGCATGGCCACGGACCTGTTCAACCGCGTGGAGAAGCCCATCGAGTACCACAAGCTCTCCCCGTCCGAACACATGGACAGCATCACCGCGATCCATAGGATTCTGTCGCAGGTGATCTCGCATATAGGCTGCGAGAGTAGTACGCACAGCTGGGTGCAGTCACATTTGATAGCGCAAGTGACACGTAAATGCACTCGATGAACAGAAAATGCAGGGTCAAGTTTCGACATAACGTATCATTTAGAGTCTAAATCCGTCGTTCTTCCACCCCAAAAAAATGTCTAGACATCCCTTTACCCTTTAATCGTTTCTCTCGCCAATGAAACCTTCTGCTCTTCTCGCCCTTGCTTGCTCACCCTTCAGATTCAGAAGCACGAGAAGGGACGCCTTTCCACGGAACCACCAGCCGATGCGGCTACTCGTATGAAGTACTTGCAGGAGTGGCTCGAACAGAACAATGTGAAGGTGGGTACCGAGTGAAACGACTGCAGTTGTCGACCATAACCTGCTAAGGCTAGTTTTGTTGACGATGAATTCCAACGACTATGCGATGGACAATGACCTGGACTGGAACGGTAATTTCTGTTGACATCACCAGTAGCGGAACCATGTAGCCAGTCTGAGGTCTGTTTGCTTATGATGTACTGGGGACGGACGCTATCAATTCGGCCAACCAACCACATTGCGACTAATTAACATGTGTTGGGACTCCTCCATAAAATCTCCTGATTGGCTGCTTTTTACTTTCACTAACGCGGACCTTGTGACGTGTCAGATTGACGGGGTCAAGCTCGACGGGAGTCTGCCCGAGGGTCCCGGAGTGGTGGCAACGCGTGACTTCAACGAGGGCGAGCTCGTTGCTTCGTTCCCGTCCGAACTCATGATGACTCAAATTACTGCCGTCCAATCAGTTGTGAGCGCCAATCACTTTTAGGCTCAGCTGAAATGTGGGTCCCGCGGGTAAATTCAGACAGTTTCACAACCGCAAGCGTCCATGGGTTTCCAGTTTTTTTCTGGTCCTATTTCTCTCGCTGTCTTCCTGACTTACCTCCATGACTTCCTTTGTTTTTCTTACCACACGAGCAGAAGGACGTGGGGCTAATTCACTCCACGGACGTCTGGTTCAGGGCTGTACCCTCCCTCATCCTCGCCATGCACCTGCTCTTCGAAAAGGTCAGTCCAGCTCTCCCTCTCGAATGCACTTGAATGGTCCATGCGCATGGAAACAGACAGTCCCACACTTCTCCTCAGGCTGCAAGTACCACGCGTATAACGAAAACAGACTTTTGTCTTGTCACATGTTTCACATATAACCTCATCTGCTGTACCGATACCTCCCTTTCCTGTACTGCAGCATCGTCCGGCAGGCTCCCCGTCCAAGTGGTTGGGGTACATCAAGTCGCTGCCAGGCCAGCACTGCCTCTCCGAGTTCAACCAGGATGCTTCCCCCGACGACATCATCCTGCCCCTCGCCTTCAGGTCAGCAGAGGAGATGGTTTTGGATCCCTGTTGCTTCTAAATGGCGGGCTGTAATCATTTGCGCTGCTTACAAGCTCAAAGGCCTATTGGGAATGCATGGTTTTAGCTATGATTTGGCCTGAGATAGTTTCATGCGTTTCCACTTGCGAAGCAATACTTGCCACTGTCCCATTATCTAAAACCCCCTTTCTCCCCCTCTCACCCTCTCACCATCCCCCATCCCCTGCCCGTCTCTCCATGGACTACCTGTCACTGTGTGCCCATCCACCACACCTGCATGGCGTCGCAGTCTCGAGACTGTCTCGCTCCTGCAGGGAACCACGGTATGCCACACAGCCTCTTGCCCCTTCAGTATGTCATGTTTTATGCTGTGCTGTGCTGCACACCATAACCCAAACAGCACCAATGCAGCTCTCTCACTCATGTATGCACGCTGCACGCCACACCCGAGTATCACACAGTGACCAAGAGGGTTTAGGGTCTGCCTGAGTACCACCAATTCCCTAAACAGTGGCCAAGCAGCACTATCACATGTGCACAGTGCTGGCCCTTTTGGTTTTGTTGATAAACAGTTCTTCCTCCACTTTATTCTCAATGAACCCTAAAACCCCACAGGCTCTGCCGGAGTACCACCGAATGCTGCGCACAGTGGCCAAGCAGTACTGCCACATGCGCACCGTGCTGCGACAGCTGGGAGTCATCGCAGCCCCCCTCAAGACCGCATCCCGGGAGTGGTTCTGCTATGCCGAGTTCCGATGGGCTGTCTCTGTGAGTGGCGTGATGGCTGTTCTTCAGCATGACGCAAGTGTTTGAATCCGTTGCTGGCGACTTGGGGGGTTATGGACCACCACGTGGCATTTGTTTTCTATAATCAAGTAGTGTCTAATCAGGTTCAGATTCTCCTCGTTTATCTTCTTCTTTTCCTTTGTTCTTTTCTCTCCCTGGTGCTCTATGCACAGATGGTGATGATGAGGCAGACGCAGGTGCCAGTGTCAGCAGAGGCACTAGAGGCAGCAGTGAAGAAGAACCCCAGTGCTGCCGCTGCTGGTGTTGCAGGCACCCCTGCTGAAGCTGCTGCCACTGCTGCTGCTACTGCCGCTGCTGAAGCTGCTGCTGCTGCTAGCTCTGCTGCTGCTGGTGATGCTGTTGCTGGCGATGCTGGTGGTGGTGATGCTGCTGCTGGTAGTGCTGACGCTAGTGCTGTCCCTGCTGCTGACGCGTCAGCTGCAGCAGCAGCTGCTGCGCCTGTTCGTCAAGTTATGGCGCTCATCCCCTTTATAGACATGTTCAACCATGAGGTACGTGTACAGTAGGAGGATAGCCTTGTAGGTGGCCAGTTTGCCAAATAAGGGCTCTCATCTCATCCCCCTCGTATCCATGCTTAACCGTGCGGCACGTGTCTGTTTGCTTGTACAGGAGGGTCCTATAACGAGTACGTTTGGCGGTGGGAGCAACGTGATGGAGGTCACTGCCAAGCGCAACTTCAAGGCCGGCGAGCAGGTGAGTGTGACTGTAAAGGAGATAAGATGTGGTTGTAGGTATGTGCTGGCGAACAGGTGGGTGTGATTATATTGGGCTGTAGGGCTACTATCAGGTGTGTGTGAATGTACAGGACTGTAATACAGGACTGCAGATGTGGTACAGAATGCACGGCACTAAATGGGAAACCAAGCATCAGCTCATTTCAAGCATCGCTTAACAATCAGCATGTGCATAACAGACGGTTCCCGACCTAACACCCTAATCTTCATCCCAAACACCACCCCACCAGTGCAATCGCCCCAAACACAAACCATCCATCGGCTATACATGTTCTATGGCCATCGGCCCGACACCATCCATACACCACCCTCCTATCAACCATGCACCATCGTAGCACCCAGCTACCCATCCATCACCCACTCAACATAACCATTCCACGAGTGCACCTTTTATGTGGCTAGCTTCCACCCTTGATCAGCCGAGCACCATCCTCCAATCACCCAAACACCCGTTCACCATGATCACATCCCATTTTCCAGGTGTAGCTGTCGTACGACTATCACCCGAACATCAACCAATCACCACCCTCCTGTTACCTACCTACCCACCCACCCATCCATCGCCTACTCACCAGGTGTACCTGTCGTACGGCTATCGCCCCAACACTATCATGCTGCTTTACTCGGGCTTCATCCCTAGCTCCAACGACAGAGACCGCTTCCGGTGAGCTTCCACTCCCTGCTGCTCCCCCCTCCCTGCTGCTCCACCCTCCCTGCTGCTCCCCCCTCCCTGCTGCTCCCCCCTCCCTGCTGCTCCCCCCTCCCTGCTGCTCCCCCCTCTCTGCTGCCCCGCACTCCCTGCTGCCCCGCACTCCCTGCTGCCCTCACTCCGCCGCGTCCCCCATTCACTGCCAATGATTGCCCCTCCTTATCTGCCTGCCCCTCCTTACCTGCCTGCCACTCATGTTTCTGCCCCTCTCTGTCTGTCTTTGCCCCTCCCTGTTCTGCCCCGTCTGCCTCTACCCCTCTCCTTTCTGCCCCTCCCTGTCTGTCTCTTCCCCTCGTCTGCCCGCCAACAGCATACCACTGGAGCTGTCACCCTCCGACCCACTCTACAATAAGAAGGTACGCCAAGTGGCAGGAAGTCAGTATGTACGTAAGTTCGGCTCAAAGAAGAGCCACGTTCGGAGGAAGGTGGGTACAATCTGACATGCTGGTTGGAATGACACAGCTGAAATGGCAACTTTGAAACACGATGTTGTACCCGAGCTGTCTGTGTGGCTCGTTGGTTTCCCCTCATCCTCACTCCACTGCCCCCGTCTCCCCGCTCTACTCGTTCGCCCAATCCAGCTGGCACTCCTCAAGTGGCTGGAGCTACCGCCCTCCACCCATCTGGACCTCTTCTGGACTGGCAAGCCATCTCCGGAGCTGGCCACATGGCTTAGAGTGGCGACCACCACTGATGAGGCGCAGATCACAGAGGATCTGCGAGGAGCCATTGCTGCACGCGCCAAGGAGACAGCTGAACTACTGGAGGCACATGGGAAGGATAAAGGTGAGCCCGTGGGAGGCGTGACAGTGGGCATGTGGTTGTAGGCCAACCACGATGGGCATAGCATGGAGGGGGGATTTTTTCAAGGATGTAAGATGAGTGACGAGGGGCAGAACACAGAGGATCTGCGAGGGTCCATTGCTGCACGCGCCAAGGAAACAGCTGAATTCCTGGATGCGCATGGGAAGGATAAAGGTGAGTGCATGGGAGTGGTGAGGGTGGGCATGTGGCTGTGGTTCAACCACGACGGGAAAAGCATGGAGGGGGGGGATTCTTCAGGATGAAAGATGAGTGATGAGGCGCATATCACATAGGACCTGCAAGGGGTCATTGCTGCACGCGCCATGGAGATAGCTAAATTGCTGGAGGCGCATGGGAAGGATAAAGGTCAGCACATGTGAACGGAGGAAATGGTAAGGACTGGGGAAACAGGGGTAATGAAGGGTAGATGGATCAAAACAGGCCAAAAGAAGAATTGTTCACCATGTGGCCTCCCATTCCGATGAGATGGCTGTACCACTGCTTCACATACATGCCACTTATTTCATATGCCAAAGGTTGTCCTTTCCTCTCTCGTCTCCTCTCTTCTCCTCTCCTCTCCTCTATTCCTCTTTCCTCTCCCCTCTTCTCTCTTCCTCCAGCAACAACAAACGGCCATGCTGAACCAACCAGCAAACCAGCCAGCAGTGCAGATGTAACTCTGACCAAGGCTCAAGCCGACCTGCTCAGCAGTATCTGCCAACGCAAGCTTCAGGAGCTTCAAGCAGGAGCCACAGCAGCATCACCTGCACCTGCTGGTTTAGGCTTGGGTGGAGGCTTGGACGCTCGTTCGGCAGGAGCCAAGGCGTGTGAGAAGGAACTGCAGTTGGCTCGGCAGCTAAGGGAGGCGGAGGAAGGGGCTTTGAGCAAGGCACTGGAGATGTGTGGTCTAGTGAGCGCTTAACGCTGCAGAATCAGAGTTGGACCAGAAGTTGTGGAACAGGCTGAGGCGGGAAAGGGCAAATTTCTACATGTTTTGGTTAGGAATATGCATATGCAGTATGCACCATCCACAGGTGAATAGCATGCCATACAAGTTTCTGCATTTATGGATGAGGTTGTGTTCTGAAGAGCCACATAAATGGCTAGCACAATGGACTCACATGGGTACGGTGATTTGAGTCCCATTTGGGTGCTTCTGGCACCAGAAACGCACAAGGAAACTCAAAACTCGAATTAAATACATTAGGGTACATTCCGCTGTGGACACTGTCCCAATCGACGTGTCCCAATCGAGTGTACCGCTCCGAACCGAACTAAACCAGAGACGCGAAAATTTCGAAACTAGGGTGCAATTTGGTGTAATACGATGCAATGCGGTAGAAACGATTGAGACACTTTGATTGGGACATGTCCAGTGCGGAATGCACCCTTAATAAATTGTAGGTTGTGATAAAATGTAAAAACTATTCGTTATACTTGTAAGGGATTTTCTCGACATTCCTTAGTGCGCCCTGCAGGCCCCTAGATTCGTTTTGAGGTAGTCTGAGGCCTCAGAGTACACCCCTCCTGGAACTCTGTCTGTCAGAGGTGCCTCAAGATTTTAGTCTGAAAATTCAGACAAACACAAATTTTTTTGTCTGAACTGTCAGAGTTACTTCAAATTTTAAGATGTTCATGCAGTTTCGTAAAAGCAGTTTTAATAGCATTGAGGCTGATTACAGCCTACCATACCAACGCATCAGGCAACGTGCTCGTGCTCGTGCATCGCCTCTGCTCATGTCGGCGGCGTTCCAGTGTTTTTGTCACGTGCAGCGCATGGTTGTTTCTGCTCTGCTGATCTCATTTCGTTTTGTCGTGTGTGTGATTACCGTTCTGTACCCATTTTCTCGCATGTGTGCCGATTTTGTCAGTTTTGGATTTGCTTTTCAAGCGATTTGATCGTTCACCCGATCTGTATCAGGTGGGCCAAGTGCCACGCAGCTGAGCTGGCAGCAGGCAGAAACTGTTGCTTGGCGTGGCATGTGAGGATCAGACAGTGCCACACGAAACTTTCAGTACGAATCAGGAACTTCGCAATTCACACCCGTGCGTGCTGCAGATGTTTTTACAGCGAATCAGCATCAAAGTCGCCTATTCTTTACAATACATTAGCGATAACTTACATGTGACGAGATTTTGTCTTCAGAAATCTCGTAATCACGCAACCATTTCCTCAGCGTAACTGGAAGATATTCTCGACGAACGAGTGTATTTAGATGTCCCAGCTGTCGAAGTGAGCGTTGCTCACGTCCTGGCACTCCACTGCCATCTCGGAAGTGGGCATATCGGAAGGAAACTTCCAGGAAACTTTGAACCGATAAGCGCGCAGAGTGTACCCCCGATACAAGTCTGTGGCTCAGCCTACCCTAGTAAAATTAGGCTGAAATTCTAGACAACTCATAAGAAAAAACTCTGGAAAATCAGACAAGGTACATAAATAAATTCTTTGAGTTCAGACTAGGTACAAAAAAAAAGTCTGAACGGACTCTGATTCAGACTCCAAAGTCTGATATCTAGGGCACTGGCGCCCTGCAACATCGCGTACAGCAGCAGCCGTTGTTCGCCCGTTGCTGCTAACGGGGCTTCGCCGACTTCGCGCGCACTGTTTTGTCAGAATCCCAACCACTAGACCATTGGGATAAAAGGGCTTGTTAAGTAGCGGGTCAGTGCGCCCATAACCCCCCAGACCAGTGTGCCTGTAACCCTTCCCTAGGATCAATCGGGGATCACCAGTGGACCTCTGATATGTTTCACCAAACCTCGCACTGCTGGCCCGGCCGTATCGGACTACGCTTCGGGACTACCGTATTTACCCGGCTAATGGACCCCCCAAAATTTTAGCCCCCCGGGTCGTTAAATGGGGGTGGGTCTAATGCTATCTCCACTTTCGTACCGTATTAGACCCCTCTTTTTGCAATGCATTCAGGATTAGACCCCCCCTAGTGCAGAAAGCTCAAATTCCACGAAACTGTAGCGAGACACATCAAATCAGGGTAGCAAAATTTACTGATCTGACTGGATTATTGACCATGTGCCTGTCTCGCGTCAACGCGTGGTCAATTTTCTCATGACGCGCTATCGGAATGGTGACCTGTGATGTCGTAAAAGAGTGTTTGACATGACTTAGAATAAAAAGATAAGATGTAGGATTAGACCCCGGGTCTATTAAATTTCCCCCCAGTTAATAGACCCCACCCCATTTTTTCCCCCGTGTAGGATTAGACCCCCGGGTCTATTAGCCGGGTAAAAACGGTAGCCCGAACCTCGCTGCCAGCGTAGCACTAGCTAGCTCGCATGCACCGCGTTAACGTTTGCATGCTTCGCGTATAAATGTTCGCTCATGCCTTCGCTCACATTTTGTACTCGTTTGACACCTAGTGCAATTCTCGCCACCTCAATTCATTGCACCCGTAACAGTTGGTATTCAGAGCCTCTTTCTTTTTCGGACCGCGCATCTCCGCACCCGAGAAAATCAACTTTTGATTTTTCACTCGAAGGGACTCACGCACCTTAGCCCCTAGGAGCTGCTGTCCTCGCGTTCTCTCGTAAACGCGTGCAGCCACGACTGCGCCTAGAACTAAGGCGGGCCGACGCCTTTTGAAATGGCTGAGCATATTGACGTCACCACTCTCACGCAGAAGCGTCTGAACGAATTGCTGCAGCAACTTCGCGAAAGCTCTGAAGAAATCGCAGCACTGACGGCAGAACGCACGTCCCTGCAAAATGACATCGCACGAGCACAGCAAGCACAATCTCAAGCACCTGGCACTCCGGTACAGCCCGCACCACAAACATCGCAACACGGAATCGTGGGGCAACCCGCGAGCGCGGCCAGTGATGGCGTCGTCCGCCATGACGGAGACAACAACCACGACACGACACACCCCGAAGCGACGAATGCGGCTCGAAGCCAACCGCGCGTCACGATTTCGGCACCGATTAACGAGTCGGCACTGCCGTCACTGATGTCGCTGAAGCCGCAGCGTCCGCCATGCTTTGACCCGAGTCAACGGGGTAGTCCTACCGTTCAGGCATGGTTGTTCACGATGAATGTCTTCTTCGACGCCAACTACGCCTCGGAGGATATGGCGAAAATCCGTTACGACGTGTCGTTGCTACAAAAACCCGCCATGGACTGGTGGCGCATCATCGTCACGAAGCCGAATGACTACGCGACTCTACCGACGCGGGAAGGACAAACCGGACCCTGGGCGCCGTCGTATTTCGTGGAGGTGCCCCAATATTGCACGTGGGACGCGTGGTGCGCAGGTCTGCGCGCTCTATTTGAGCCAATTGGGGCTTCGATCGCGGCGCGACAAAAGCTCCGCACTTGGCGCCAAATCGGCTCCGTCCAGGACTACACCAGCGGGTTTCTGGCGCTATGCAAGCAAGTGGGTTATATGCATGAGGGCAAGCGCATCGACCGCTACATTGGCGGCCTGAAGCACGACATCGCTCAGGAAATCCAGCTTCGCGGAGTGTCCAATTGTCAAGGAATTCTCGCCATGGCGGAGAAACTTGATTTCTTCCGCCGACTGAGACCGGGGTCCTACGGAAGCAGTAACTGGGGACATCGGTCTCGTGAGATAAACGAGGGCGCTACAATACATGCCGTCGCCGCGAATGCCGCTGCCGCACTGTTCAAGAGGCGCTGCTTCGCGTGCAATCGGCCGGGACACTGTAAGAGCGAATGCCTGGAAAACGCTAAGGGAAAGGGGGAAGCTGAGTAGCAGAAACAGACCAAGCAGCAGGGAAACGCTGGGAGTCAGTAGCAGACAGGCCCTCTACTGACAGGCCACGTCGCTCGCCCGACCCAACCGGCCCTCACCGAGTGATTGTACCGGTTCACGCAATCGACCACACCCGGCCGAATAAGGAGGGTACTACGGTAGACAACCCCATACTGCTTAGTGGAAAAATCGGGACGGAATTAGTTAAAATCTTCGTAGACGGGGGAGCCAGCCACAGCCTCATCAACACGGTCACGACACGGAAATTGAAACTGCCACTGGACATATGTTTACCTGAGATCGACGCAAAACTGGTTGACGGTACGCCACTGGTGATACGGGAACGCGTAGACCGGGTTCGGATTCGATGCAGGGGTAACTCCACGTTTAGCCAGGGAACGCTCGCGACAACCCTCGACGGAACCGACATTTTACTCGGTCGTGATTGGTTGCACGACACAATCCGCGAATCGACTGGACGACGGGTGACTGCACCGTGCGAGTAAACGGTAACAACATCGCCTTACCTTGCTGGGGCTTGCTTGAATCTTCGTTGGTGCGTGTCAACGCGATCACAATGAAACGCGCCGTAGCGGCAGGGGCTGACGTGTACGCGGTCGACATTTGGGAAGCCGAGGCAGCAGACAACGAGGAGGATTTACGGAAACTGCTAGCCGATGTACCGAATGACTTGGCAGCACTCCTGAAGCAGTACAGTGGGATATTTCCGGATGACCTGCCGACGGGACTGCCACCTCAGCGACCGTACGACCACAGGATAGAGTTAGAACTGGGGGCACAACCAACAGTACCGCGACAATTTCGACTGACCCAACCCGAACTGGACGAACTGAGGAAGCAGCTGGATTACCTGCTCGAAAAAGAGTTCATTCGCCCGAGTTCGTCACCCTTCGCAGCACCGATACTGTTCACTCCGAAAAAAGACGGGGGGTTTCGCATGTGCATCGACTACAGAGCACTGAACAGGGTTACCATCAAGTCCCGTTACCCCATTCCACGAGCCGACGAACTGATCAACCAACTGCGCACAGCCCGGGTTTTCTCGAAAATCGACCTCCGAGGAGGCTACCACCAGATCCGAGTCAACCCACCCGACTGCCCGAAAACAGCTTTCCGAACACGCTACGGATCCTTCGAATACACCGTCATGCCCTTCGGACTGACCAACGCC